GTTTATTGAAAGTTCATCATTTATATATTTATAATCGTGTTTAGAAGTTTATTTTGTCTAAAAATGATCAAAACTACGAATTTTGGGCGTGTTTTATTGTCATACATCCTTTCACTTTCACAAAATAAATTCCATTCTTTATATATACGGAAAATGTGTATTCTTTTCCGTATTGATAAAAGATAATACAACTGTTATCAAGAAGGTCGTAATAGAATGAAAAAGGTGAAGATAAAAAGCAGTGATCGATCTAAAAAAGTCTATAAACAGTACAATTCTGTTAAGAGGGCATAAAACACGGACTGCTGGAAATTCCAGAGATGGGATCAGGTGCCTAGGAGGAGTAAGCATCACCTGTTGATCGGTCACACCGGCCGTGAACCTATGTATTGATCAGGTAAACGGAATATTTCTTTGTCAAATTCAGTATAAAAACAAAGGCCTAACAATTGGTATGAAACAAGTCGACCAAAATACGACCCAATAATAGGTTATATTTGCTAAAGAGGTCATTATAACGACCATAAAATTTACGAAATGCTGACTTTAAACGACTTTTTTGAAATCCTGTACGATCAACTTATCTGTCAGTAGCCTGCCTCGGTTAAAAAAATTGATCGTCTCTTGAGTATCAAATAAGTTGAGAGATGTAAACACTAAATGCAGGTGATAGCAGGATATTACTACTAGTATGTAAATAAGGCAAGTTGACGATGGAAAAGTTGAAGTCATCTCGTTTGTCATATAATTTAGTTGTTAGTTGGCCCTTATCGTCTAAAGTCAGTAAAACATCCAAATATAAAACAAATATGGCAGACTCTGTTGTGTCTTTTATTTCAAGTTCACAAGGATATATCAAATCGACATATGAATGAAATTAACTATTGTTAATTAATAATACATCGTCGGTATATCTAACTGTCAAGTTGAAGGCCACAGCAAGTATTTTCTTCTTCTCACGTAGAAGTTTTTGAATAAATTCTGCTTCATAGGAATAAAAACACAGGTCGGCCAATAAAAGAGCACAAATAGTGCCCATTGGAATTAATTCCAACTATTTGTTGGGAGGCCTGGTCTCCGAAGATTGCATAAATGTTGTCAATGAGGAACTCAAGCATCCTTTTAATATCAACTTCAGAGTACTTCTGTGTAGAATCACAGTGATTCTTAACAAAGTAATTTTGTTGAAGACCAATCACAAGAAATGAAAATTTCCGACTTCCATTTTTACTGAAGAAGCAGTTTTGTGTAATATCAAAAAATTTAGTTTTTAATTTATCGTGGGGAATATTTGTATGAAGTGTAGAAAAGTCGTACGTTTTGATGTTACTGATTTTTGAAAAAAAATTGGCGATTTTAAATTTTCTTAAAGTTCTTTGGAGTTTTTGAGAATCCACAACTGATTTACACCACTTCTATAATATGCTGTAGCGCAATACGTCTGAAGTTTCTCCTTAAAAGCAGTCAATATTTTTGTAAGGAGTAAGGATAAAGGCTTAGTAGAGCATTTTCTTGACCAGCAACGTTTCTCTGTTTGTAAGGATTTTTATGAAGTTTAGGAATCCAATGTAGATAGGGTAGATCGAACTCACCTTGGTTGACTGGAATGTTTAAAGTTTAAAATACTGAAATAAATAGACACAGTTTATAAACAAAACCACATTGTATTAAAGTGTGTGTATGTTCTTTTTAATGGTCAGTGTGATGGCTCTATACAAACAACATGTTCTATGTTAGGATACTAGGAATTACTAATTCAGCGTCATTTGCCTTAGTTTTAATGAACAAATGCAGAACTGTTCAAAATAATTAATGTAGAGAAGAAAGAAAGGAGGAAATTTGAGAAAACCTTGTGCCCAGTGTTGATTATGAATGTGCAAAGATCAGCACTACGTTTCCAAAATAAAGTACATGTACATTGAAAACTAAGGTTACCATTGCAGGCATTGCAGTTAGCCAATTAATTAAAATACGATGATTGTCCATAAAGTTCGTAGATGCTATAAATTTCTTATAAATGACCATACTGCCTAACGTGTGCGATAATTTAAATAGACCATGATTTAGCAAATGTAAAAAATAATCAAACAATTAATACGTACTATTGCATAAATTTGCAAGCTGCACGTCCCGTCTGACGTTAAAGCTAGCTTCATGATAATGTCAAAAAATGTGGATTTTGATTTTGATTTTTTTAATATCACTTGTTCGTGGTAACACGCTATCATTTTTTTCTATATTAGAAAATGATCATTTTAATCCGAAACTTTTATTTCAACGTCTATGGCATTTTACCCCTCTTGTCGCACGCACTCTCAGCGACCTTTAAAGACCGCGATTTTTACATTAATATAAGTTCAAACAATCAAAACAAAACTATTCTGACTTGGATTTTCATAACAAATACTTTGGTATATTATAAATATATCTAGGGCTATTCAGTTTGAAAAAAAGGCATTGTCCACGAATTTTATAGACAACGCTAAATATTAGTTTGATGAAAACTTGCATTTCAACATTGAAATGTTAATTAAACTGGAAAACCACTTTCCTCATGTATTCCTTCTTTTCTTAGGGCTAATATTTTAGCAGCTCGTACTTGCAGATATGACTTATTTTTCAGTTCCTCGAAGAATTCAACATTAGGTGTTATCTTCGGTTTGAACTTATTTTATTGACTTAAAATTTTACAAAGGGGATAAGGCAAAAGTTCTAAAAACTTAATACACCCTTTCCCTACATGTGAATTATATCAAACATTTTTACACATATGGGTCACAGTTTAAAATTAATAAACACAGGGGGGGAAGGAATAATCAGGATACATATGCATGTATCATACAACATACAGATTGAATAGAATTCACAAAAAGTAATTACTTCATCAACCAAAACGACCTGACTTTTTAATAAATATATGAACAATTGAAAAAAGGTATTCATTCTCAACATCCCCCAAAGTAAGATGTGAGTGTCAATGGTATATATGTAATTTACCAAAACACAGAAATTTGTCAAAAGTCTTTTCTGGCTTCTGTATATTTTTTGCATGAGAAAAAATAATGATGAGTATCCTCCACTCTTCCACAAAAGCAGAAGGGATTCAAAATTATATTACATCGATAAAGGTCACTATTTAACACTTTGACGAAGCCTTGTATGTAATATATTTAAGCGCCGAGTTTATTGCTAGCGCTCTCGAGCGCTAGCAACTACGTTAGTCTATATTTCTGAAATACGCATGCTCGACTTCATGGTCGGGGATTCTGGGAAAACTACTGTAGATAGACTGTACGATAACAATTTCGTTTTGTCATACAAAAATAGAATTGATCCGAATTTACACTGGCCTTTCCTGTCTGATATGCGCGATTTCGTAGGTTAGAGACAGTCAATACCAGTCTAGATCCGGATTCTGATTTATTTTTAATTCATTGTCTAACCTACACATAAAAGTACAAGAAAAAATTTGGCCATATAATGCCAAGATTCTAGACATCTAGTTTTCCTTACAGTTTTACCACCTTAGTGGATAATTCCGGCAAGCTCTGAAAAAAAACAACAACAACAACAAAAATCTTTTTCAGAGTATGTCGGAAAGACATGTCAGTTTAGTGTTTATCATCTGAAAATACATATGATCTGAAGTTTCGTGTTTTGTTGTCTAACCTGCACGTAAATGAACCAAAAGTAACAGTAATTCGGGTCTTATACAACCAAGACTGTTATTTCTGAAGTTGTAATGAATACATAGCTTTTCTAATCTACCTTAATGGATCTTTCCGGCAAGCTCGGAAAACCGCGGCAACCTCGGATATATTTTCCGAGCTTGCCGGAAAGGCCTGAAGGTGCTCATTGGTTCTACTGACCTTTTATTTTTTACCTCGAAATTGAAATGACAGTAAAATACAGAATGCTTAAAGCACAGTTAGGAGTTATGCTATTGCCGACGTGAAACACACTCTTAGATTCACCATTCTGAATTGTGACCCCCCCCCCCCCCCAAACTCAATCCCCAGTGCACCAATCTGCCTTCTTATTAATAATAAATCGATTCAGCAAATTTAACAAATGGTTCAGATATCTTCTTCTGTATTTTATTATGCTACAGCGCTAGCTCACCAATCTTTTTAAAAGATAAGCTTGTATTACATACAAGGCTGTTATCTCCAATTTGAGAAAAAAAAATTAAAGTGGTGAAATCTGGCATTAATTTTTCGTGCAATACGTTTATTACTTAAATTTTTTCATATGTTTGAATAGCTAAATATGGTGAGATTTCTCATCTAACTTTACACATTGTACTATCCATTATGTCACCATATCTGACTAATATGGAGAGTTGATGACCAAGTATTGACTCCACCAGCGGAATACTAAACAAATCTAGAGGGCAGCGAATAATGAATAAAAAATGTTTCCGTCTGAGCATTGATAGATAGCACAATTATTATTACGCCACTTACTGGTGGCACAATCGGCAAACAATAAATTCAAGCATCGTACGAAATTATTTCTTTGTCTGGCTGCACAGCGCATACGTGGATAGCATACATTGCACCAACGGTTACAAAACTCCAATAATAGTAATCACCAAAAGAAATAGAAAAATATCATTTCTGACAACGTTCTACGATAAAGAATAATTTCCTGTTCTATTCTTCAATTTTCGTATCAATGACATTGCTTTACGAGGAGCGCTTCTCAAACTTTTTTATGAACGCCATTCCACTTAGCAAATATCATGACGTCAAGGCTAATGTCATGGCGACCACCTGACCACGGCAACTGCTTATTCTGTATGTTTAGTTATTTTATGCATATTATTCACATATGCGTACTTGTTGGTATTCACCGATTTCATTAATGAAAGGTTTAGCTTGAATACAACGAAAGGGGTTCCCCATTATCATTAGAGGCACGAAGAGCTTTGACGGTTGAACTCGTCAGCCAGATCATTCATTCATAGCGTAGGGTCTTTAATCAGAGGCACCATCGATTTCCATTGGAGATATTTTGATACGTAAGGATTTTCAATGAATATTTGATTCCAAGGGATTTGTGAAGATATTATATTTTTAAGAAAGACTAGAAATTATGTGAATTCAGAAGTTTCCTCTTTTGCTCTATTTTATTGTGATTTCAAGTAAGTATAGGTTCTTTGTTTCTTGACCAAGAATTAAGATACTTATATATTAATTACACCGTGAAAGTACAAATACTATCTACAACAGCGTTGGTGGCGATACAGTTCGTGACCTGTACCAAACATCCGCTAAGCTTCTCCGTTTAATTATTGGGCATTGTATTTCTGATTGGAATTGGCAGGGTTGAGGAGCGGTTATGTAGCAGTGAGGTAACACCAGTGTGATTCATCAATGGGGAAGCGATACCTCGGGAGAGACTCGCATTACGAAACAGTATGGTGCTTTGGAAATTCAAACTATTCCTTTGGATGATCGAAAATGAAAAATGACGCGAGTGCGGCCATATTTGAGGAAATTCTTTCTCAAATACATCCGTTTGGTTATTTTCAAAAACGTCTTTTCTTTGTGACGTCTTTGGTCCAAACTCTTGTGACGACTGTAATTTTATATACGGATTTTGTATATATGAATGTCAAGAACAGCAAATGTGTTTATTTACAACAATATGACAATGGAACTAATATTTCCACAGTCACAGATGCAACAAAGAGTTCTTGTGACGGAGAATGGTTTAACCAATGGAAGGTGCCAATGGTAAATTCTGATGTATTGATACATTTTTTAAAATGATTAATTTGCAACAAATTTCGCATAAAATGACCTGAGTAATCAATTTTCAAATTTATATGTTCAAACATTGTTTTGAAAGTAAACTCATACTTATATCAGATATAATATTGAGAAATTCCTTAATATATAAATGAAGCATCACTGGTTTTACGTGTTGAATTACAAAGATATAAATTCAACTATAATAGCATATTATTGCATAAACAGTTTTCAAAAGTGCATTCGCCTAAGATACAATAAAAAAAAAAGTAATGAAATTATTCACCCCTCGTACAGGGTACAATAAGATCAATTCAAAGTCTCTCGACGAATTAAGAGATTTTCATACATGGAGTAAATGAATTTTCAGAAATACATAAACACCAACGCGAAAGGCTGAATTATGACTAAAGACCTAATAAGTCGAGTTAATAAAATAGTTGGCGTCAAATCGGACAAAACACAGAGCAGAGGAATTGTCATTCAGCCTAAACAAAAACAATTTTGATCTTATTAGGGAAATAGAGGAGAGTAAAAAATTTGATTTGTTGAGTTTTTATGATCTTCAACAATGTGGGCTGATGCATATATTGAATTGTCCTTTTTTTCCTTCTTCATGGGTTGATATTGTAAATTTTGAAATGATTGGGTGGAAGTAAATACCTACCTACATTTAAAATAAACAACGGAATAATGACTGTTGAGTTCCAATTAAAGCAAAGAACTTATTAATGTACTGATTAGGGATTGTTAACTGATAAAGCCACTCCCTCGTCTCCCCTTACTTATGGAGAGGGCCGCACCGGCAACAACTCATGGGAGTGGAAATGCGAGAGGGATTGCGCGGGTGACACGGGAGCAAGAAGCGCGAGTTCTTGCTTACTTTCATTGCTTCCTCGCCCTACATGCGAGACATTACATGTATCAGTACAGTTTTGCTTATTAAAACCAGACCGAGATATTTGGTCAAACATTATAAAATCAAAATTAACACATCTTGTAATTTTCAATTTTATATTTACTTTCAAAAACGTTTTAATTTCTCACTTCTCAAGTTTTTACATATATTTTGAGTTCACATATGTCAGAGATTACAAAAAAAACTTAAGTTAATTACTAGCATCTTTATACTTCACACATAAGCATCAAACCCAGCTGCTGTAGCCCTTTTACTTCATGTGTCAAAAATTTCCTCATCGTTCAAACCTAGTTGAGATATGTGCCATAATTACTGACATAATTATTTCAGAAAAGTTGTCAAACACATTCCTCTTTCCTACAGCTTGAGTTGTTTGGTCATATTATTTTCTTTTATTTTGTGGATGTATTCAATATGTATTCAATCCTTTTCCTCCATTGTATTTTACTCCAGATCGCAAAAAATTATCATAGAAGCATGTGCTGACAAAAGATTATAAAAAAAAAAGGAATAAATGAGATATATACACTCATATATAATTGCTGAATAAACAGCCCTCGCTTGTTTTGCAAACATCAAACACTAATTACTTTAATATGACCACTGTATATACGTGCAAAGCTCTGCAAACAAAACCGCAACGTCTCAAATCAGCTGCATTAAGGACAGACAGTAAGTCTAAAAATATGTATAGCTGCTTTATAAGACATTTACTTTAAGATACCTAACCAAACCGTCAAAACAAAGGAAATGATAATGTATGTTCTAACATTAGTATTTTTGGCAGTTTGATTAAGCTTCTCTGATAAAGGGGAAGTTTGGAATGGGTGTTTGAAAATACAAGATATTATTTGAAAGTATAATCGCGACATCGTCCTCTATGAATCATATTAGTCATATACTGTACAACCAGTAGCCAACCAAATCAAACACAATATACAAGGGGAAAACGAATTAAACTGCACTTGTTTATATTGATATATGTCACAATGTATTTCAATTGATATGGCAACTTTTTCTTATTTCCATTATATTCCATAATTCTAAAAGAAAAATATTAATAAAATGATTCGGGAAATATAATAATGTAAACTAAATACGAGTACATATGATAAAATGTAGACATAAACTGTTCTTAAATGGCCTTGTTTGCTGGCTTTAGGAGAAAATGTGTTCACGGCATTTTTTTCTCTCTCCGAAGTAGGATAGGGACATTAAAATTTAAGGTCAGACGACACATTCCACAATAATATACAATTTTTTTCCAAGAATTTGTCATTGAAGTATTGCAACTTTAACAAGTTCCCACACAAAAAATTAATGTACCTTACCAGGCATTTGTGTAAGATACCAGAGGATGATATTTACTTTATACAGGGACCTATATACTAGTGTATAGGTGCCTGCTTTATAATCCTTTTGGAAATCACTAGCATTGCCAATATCACAATTTTTTGTGGCTTGATCTGCTTAGTCATTTTGAAAACAGTTTAAAAATCACAAGACAATGATGATTATAATTAACTTGTTGTATATCACGAAGAGATGCAAAAGAGATATATGAGCAACGTGTCGTCAGACCTTAATATATTAAAATGTCATTTATGCTTCCCAAGAATCATATGCTTAAAAAGACTTTGATTCAAGATAATGACAGAAATCTTTTTTAAACAGTGACCAGTTTTTCTGTGTTAATTTTAGTATCTTTAGTGTTATGAATGTACATGTACTTTAACAAACCTACTCGATGTCTTTAATTCAAATAATTGATAAATACCGACATTTGACATTTTTTAATTTAAATAATCTATCTTCATGATGCACATTCCTAATATATTCAACTATTGCCTAGAACAGACACTTGGGTTCTTCATCTGAGACTGGTAAAAGTACCCATCAAAGAAAACATAATATATTTCAGGGATGAAATTCCTGCTCTACCAGCCCAACCTGAAAAAGAAACAGGTTGTGGCCAGTATGGTTCAAATGGGAGACTTTATGTACTCTTATTGATAGTGTATGCTGCATTAAATGATTAGACACAACATGGTATTTGCGTCAACCATAATATATATCACTGAACCTTCGAATGGTTGATTATTTTGTTATGTCTTCTGATATGCATATACTTGCAACATTAGCTCTGGCAACTTATAAAACGTGGTACTTGCATCAAGGTGGTCCTATTCTTATTTATTTATACGCATTATATATAAGACTATTGCAAATTGTAGTATTATCTTCTTCTTTTTTTTAAATGTTATATTCAAAACACTTTTATTGAAGTGTCAAATTATCAATCAAGCCTTTTAATTATCAAAATTTGTCCAGTTGCGGAAATTTCAAGATGACAATTTTTCTTTTCATCATTTTCAAGATTTAAGACTATAGTGTAACAAACACATTTACATCATTTTTTAATAGTGGATGAACGAAGAGACCTCTCCTGCGACATTTAGTTATATTTGGTTGTGCCAGGGATGTGGAATTATTATCGGTGCTGTAATAAGTGGATTTTTATCGGATTTGATAGGACGCAAACTAGTTCTGTTTGTCAATCTGATGCTGATGAGTCTTTCCCAGGGAGCTGTCTGTATACTTGAAGATTGGATTTTATTCATGTGTATGCGAGGATTAGTTGGAGTATTTGCAGGTTAGTAAAAATCTCGTATGAAAAGTTTACTGTTATCAGAATACATGTATGTATCATACTCCCCAGGTGTAATGAATCTATATAACATTTGAAGGCAAGTTTGGTTGCCTTGACATACTGAATCTCGGAGATCCAGATATTGAAGACATCATGCAATTATTACTGTTCCTAACTTATTTTATTATCTCTTAATCGACATTTTATGTATATTTTATAGGAGGAGTTATTGTACCCAGCTGTGTCCAAATGATTGAGCACGTGGGTCAGAATTGGCGGGAATTGTGTGTATGTATTTGCGCATGGGCAGTAGGGATACCAGTTCTGATTTTAGAGGGACTAATCACTCGTCACTGGCGCTGGTTGGGAATCGTAACGTCTTCTACATCCCTTCTGTCAATTGGTACATATTTGTGAGTACTATAGCTCGTTCTTGAAGAGATGATAAGGTGAAGATTTCACTTAAGCAGCCGATCGCGACAACTAGCACGTGTACAACATGTACTGAGATTTGTTGATCTTGATATGAAAGAACAGTTGCGGGTTGAGAAGGAGCAATGGCGATGTATTGACTGAGCTTTAGCATAGATACACATGATGTTTATGATCTTGTAAACTATAAGTAGGCAAATTCAATTTGTCGGAGCAGTATAGCATAAAGATGGCGTTTCTTTGATTCGTAGGAACACATTAACCTTGCGATAAGAATGCGAAAAAGTACAGGGAATAAACTTTGAGCTGTTTCATTGTCTCACTGCATGCAATGGTTAGCAATTTCCGGAATGGAATAGAAAATTTATTTAATAAATACCGAAAAGAACGTTACTCTTTCTATCAGAAATTCGTAATGAAGTTACTTTTGTATGTTAATTATATTAGGGTCTGTCATGGAACTACTGAGATTCAGAAAATCAATTAAGTACTCTAAAAATTACTTACTGAATAAATTCAGTATAAGTGCAGAATTATAACGCATGCTGCAGTTACAATATCGTAATTAAGCTACAGTTGCAATATCACCGGTAAAAGCCCAAGAACGGTTACATGTTGAGGAAAGAAAGACGATGTATTTCAAAAGAATTGGATTTTGAGATCTTCTTAAATTTGGTATCACTCCATAACAATGTTTTTTCCCCTATTCTAATCTTTAAAGAATACAATTTTCAGTCATTTTTGTTAGTGATTACCTTTCTTAATTTGGGTTAAATGAATTTATTTATATTAAAGAATGTAAGGAAAAAGCACGCTGGTATACAGACACCTTTTTAAATTAGTTTATTTTATGCAGTGACATTTACATGTACTTGAAGGGACAAAAGCAACTTTGTTTATGTTAAAATTAAAAGGTTTAAAGTTACATGAAAATCATAATTACTATTTTTTAAAACTTTTTCCCCCTTTTTTCCTTGTTTAATTTTGAATTAATCTCTTGAAATTACAGCATATATCCGGAGAGTTTCCGATGGTATACATGCAGAGAAAACTTTTCCAAAGCCGAGGCATCTATTAGGGAAATGATTTCTGTGAATGCAACGTCACTTCCGGATTTTACTCAGCTCTATGACAGAGCCAAACTTGCCGTCCTTAATGCGATGTACAAACGTCCCAGAACTTTCTTCGATTTACTTCACACAAGGGAAAGAATGAAAACAACCATTGTTCTTGTGTTTGTTTGGTATGACTTTAAAGAATTACAGACTTTGGGCAAAATAAAAAGATGATTGCACCTGCATGTATTTACTTAGATTTAACGTTTTATTACGTCAGTAAGATAAACAGATGGATAACATACCTTCTCTGATCTCTTTGTTGTTTTAGCTAATACAAACACTGAGAAAGAAAACGACCTTTTAGAATTTTACAGCTTATGAATACACTATTTATACCTAGGAGGATTGTGAACTTGTAGGAGGATGTCTAATATTTGAGGAAACAATGCTTTGAAGTAAATTGATCTAGTTAACTAACATCAGTTTTTACATTAGTTGCTACAATCAGTTTTCTCTAATTTGCAGCGACAGTAGCATTTTGACCCTCAAAGTCTTGAAACGGAAACGTTTTTCTACTCATAATATTCTACATATGCTTAAAGTCCACCTAATTGCAGGTCTAAATATGAATAACAATCTTCCGTCTTGGTCTTTAATTGGTTATATTGGAGTATTCTTCTACCGTTGTCACCGATTTTTCGTAGGTTTCACCTTCGACGAAGAAAGACATACGACGGGTGATCAAAAAGTTCGCGAACTATCTCTATATTTACAAAACCACTATTCAGATCAGAATGAAATTTGGCACATATACTTTAGACTTTAGACATATCAGGTATGATAAAAAGAAGGCGTCCACACTTTATCCATATTGGATAAACGACGCTCCCAAGACAGAGGACTCGAGTTGTGATTGTCACTATGCTCATTCTGGGGAAGGATATCCTCACCCACCAATCCTATTGCCGATATTTGGTCATTTTTGACAAATGGACTGTTCTTGTTATAAAAAAGAACTTGCATGGTAAGAAATATAAGACTCGGGAAAATCTTTCAGCTTCTGTGAACAGAACGCTACGGAGCATGTCACGTGACCGCCTGGATCACGTGATTCGAGCATGGGCAGAACGGTGGTAGATGTGCATTAAAATCGGAGAGGACTACTTTAAAAAAATAATGAACACTGATTTCTTCCACTTGCTCTTATTATAGAACCATGTGCGCGCCATATGATTTTCCTCTCTCATTTTTGACAAAAACTTGAGATATTTATATCACCAAGACAATGTCTTGTGTACCATATTAATCCACACACAAATTTATACGTCTCCTTTAAACTAATGTAAATCTCAAGGTGTTAAAGAGATCATCATGTTACCAGCACAACCTGATAGAGCGAACCAATAAGAAGATATTACAATGCATATATACATTATTCATGTATGGTCGGATTAAGCTTGATTACTAGTATTTACCAAAATCCAGAGAAAATGCAAACATCTCATCCAGTAGGTTTTTGGTTTATCTTTAGAATGGGAGATATGTCACTTTGTCAGTCAAAAAAGAACATTGCACTGACAAATATTCAAATAAAGTTTGTTGTTTCTAAATCTTTCTAGTGCCTTTTTCATCTGAGAAAATACTAAATGGTAATATAGAAGGAGAACTGTCGTCCTACTTTAACAATATTTGTTTCAGTTCTGTTCTTCCTTTTGCAGGTTGTTTAGTTGTGCTGTCTATCGTTGTCTCTATGAGAGGATGGCTGGAAGGATGTCTGACAATGTTTATCTGGACACGTTCCTCGTGTACCTCTTAGACCTCACCCTGGTGTACACAACCATGGTCATTACAAGATGGTAAGTGCGCTGTGTTTCAACTTCACAGTGGTAGCTGTATTTGTCATGTTTTCGACTGAGCTTAGTAACTTGTAGTATGATTTGAACGTGACTGGATTTTTCACATTTCTAAGCAAAAAGCTTTACGTTGTGTCTAACGTTCAATTAAACAACAAATGTGGCTGCAAACTGCGTGAAGCAGCTTTCTTTTTATGTCCCCCTTCGAAGAAAGGAGGGAATATTGCTTTGCTGCTGTCTGTCTGTCGGTCCACCAACAATTTTCGTTCATTTTCATCGTAGAGATTGCACGTACTGAAATGAAATTTGGTATCCAGATTTATCAGAAGACTATATAGGTCAGGTTATGTTTTAGGTGCGATAGAGCAATTATTGACAGAGTTAAGCCCCTTGGACTTAGAAAAAATCCAATTATTTGAAGTTTCCGTTTTCTTTGCAGAGGTCATGGAGGTTACACATTCTGAAATGAAATTTGGTATACAGATTTATCATTAGAATATCTAGGTCATATTCTGTTTTAGGTACGATCGAGCAAATTTTGGCAGAGTTATGCCCCTTGGATATAGAAAAATTCAAAGTATTTGCAGTTTCCGTTCATTTTCTTTGCAGAAGTTGCACATACTGAAATGAAATTTGGTATACAGATTTATCATAATAATATCTAGGTCAAGTTTTGTTTTGGGTACGATCGAGCAATTTTTGACAGAGTTATGCCCCTGTGTTTTTGTCAAAGATGTAATGTAGAAGACTATTTCTGGTTGATGCATCTCAGATAGTACCAGTAGATGACCCATATTGATTTTAAGTTCAAAAGGTCAATTTCATTTCCATGTACACTGCCTATAATAAAGGCTTGTCCACCCTATAGTATAATGTATGTCCGGGGGGGGGGGGGGGGGGGGGCATAAGTGTTGAACAAACTTCTCTTGTTTGCTGCTGTCTTATTCGTTATTTTTACAGCAGGAGGAAATAGTGATAATTATATACTGATGTTACATGTAGTTAATACTTGTATTGAACATCAGTGGAAGATTCACCAAGTCTTTTATTCATATCCAGCGGATTTAAAGAACGCAAAACTAGCATCTGGGTACAGTGTACTTGTTAACGCTGCTTTTCATGCTTTGAAGACATATTCGGCGCAAGCATTGTAAATGCCTGTTCACTCACATGAAATCTTCAATTCTCAAATCTGCGAATTTACTTTTTTCATAATAATTTTTCCAGCATTATTGGGACGTATTTATTCATCATCGTGCTCTCTCTTAAGATCTGTAACTTTAGTATTGCAGGAAAATAGAAACCAAATTGGCAGTCCCAAACGTACTTGTATATCATTTGTATCAAATTGTTGAATCAAATTGGTTTCTTTTTTCTTGTACGTCACCGACACATTTTCTTACAGGCCAATGAACTCTGTTGTATGGTTTGTAATTGATCTGTGCTTGCATTAAGAACAAAAAGTCGTAAACGAGGGGAAAAAAGTAAAAGGTGGGCAGCTTGAGGCATTGGGTCTTTTGGTTCAAATATTATCTATATTTAATGACTCTTCGTTGCCAGGAATTAACTTGAATCCTCCGTGTTTGGCATCTGTCAAAGGGTTTGACTTATCACCCAAGCGAGTAACACAGGTCCCCAAAAGAATATTAAACCAGGAAAAAAAACTCAAGCTTGCATCACAATAAATTTACTTATTCAGCAGGAGAGAAGAACCTTTGGAGATCAGAAACATGATGAATCTAATTAACGTTGGAAGCTTTTTGTCAGAACTCGTAATATCACATAGTGGTTATCATTAGAATAATTCAACCCCTTTGCTTTTAGTCGCAATATATATTTACCGTGTACATGCAAATATTGACTTCAAATGCTGACTATCGACCCACTAAGCTATAAAGGAACATGACTTGTGGCAACGCACTTTGAAAAAATTACGCACTTTGAAAAAAATTTTCAAAGTGCGTTAATTTTGGGACAAAATCAACGCACTTTGAAAAAAAATTTCAAAGTGCGTTGAATTTGGGACCAAATCAACGCACTTTGAAATTTTTTTTCAAAGTGCGTTAAGAGTGTGCATCATAATTTTTTACCATGTACACACTTAACGCACTTTGAAAAAAATGTGTATAAAACAAAAATTTTGGACTTAAATTTTAGTAATCGACAACATTATTATTCCCTCGCAACGGTTGAGGGGATATAGTAACGCGATTATGTGTGTTAGTGTGTGTGTTAGTTTTTCCTGTGCGAAACGGAAGTGACATAATTTGCATCGGGATCGATGTCAAATGCTACCTTGACTTATAGAAAATGCTTTTTCGGAAGTTGTAAAACTTCCAGTCGAATGAATATTTTGACTAATGTTTTATTTTATTAGTATTAAATTAATCAGTCTAGCGTATGTTCACATGAATATGATATATTAATATATATATTAGGGATGTCAAATCGGTCATGTTTTGATAATCGGTTACTCGGACGTTTTTCCGATCGAGTACTCGGTAAAAATGAAAATACATACAAGTGTGTTAATTTTCTTAAGCCCGGTTAAGCTCTGTTAACCCCCAAAGTTGTTTTATCACGTTTATAAATGTATATAAACAATTGAGTCAAAGGGGAATGAGTTTTTCGTACTAAATTTACTTACCAAATAAAAACAAACGACACAATTAATACATCAAAAATTAAATATAAAGATTAAATATTTATAAATTATCTTTTGTCCCAATGGCAATAAGGGAATGGAACTCTTTACCTCTTGAAACAAGACAATCCACTACTATAGGTTCCTTCAAAAATTGTATAAACTCTCAAAAAACATCTACTCCTGCCTTTTTTTCTTTTGGTGTTCGTTATTGGAATGTAATTCATACTAGATTAAGACACAATTGCGTTCTGAATAAAGATTTATTTAGGTGCAACATCATTGACAGTCCATTATGCACTTGTGGAAAAATAGAAGACGCATATCATTACTTTTTTTCTTGTGCGAAATACACTGTCCCAAGAAACGATTTGTTTAATGCTATTTTTAGAATGATTAATTTGCGTATTGTAGACACTCACGTACTGTTATGGGGAGATGATTCGATTAGCATTTCTGAAAATGAAAGTTTATTTTTAAATGTGCAATTGTTTATTAAGAGATCTGGTCGTTTTTGAATTTATATATTTCATTCATTTGTACATACTACATCAAGTCAATTTTGTACATGCACAACCTGTGTAAGATAATCATGTTGACCTTTGGTTCCAGTGCAGTTTAATTTTTAACATTATTTTGTGTAATGAATTGTTATAAAGGAGAGGACGTTCTAAGTTTTAAGAACTTGTGTCCGATCCTTTTGTTGTAATATCTAAACAATAAAATATGTTCAAACCACATCAAAAATTGCAAATGGTTTACAGTTTTGTTTAGGATCTATTTCATCGACACAAAAGGAGGACAATCTGTTGCGCAGGTTTGTGGTGATTAGACTAGCGAAAGGGAAGGAACGGACGTATTGACCTTTGGTTCCAGTGCAGTTTAATTTTTAACATTATTTTGTGTAATGAATTGTTATAAAGGAGAGGACGTTCTAAGTTTTAAGAACTTGTGTCCGATCCTTTTGTTGTAATATCTAAACAATAAAATATGTTCAAACCACATCAAAAATTGCAAATGGTTTACAGTTTTGTTTAGGATCTATTTCATCGACACAAAAGGAGGACAATCTGTTGCGCAGGTTTGTGGTGATTAGACTAGCGAAAGGGAAGGAACGGACGTTGTTGGGATCGCTAGTCTAATATCATTTCATATGTTGGTTGTTTCCCCCGTATATACTAAACTTACTACGCAAACTGTCTTTCAACATTTTTTTAAACTCTAGTTGTTTCTAAATATTTCTTCCATTTTGAAGTGAGTAGCGGCATTTCTAATGCATATCCGATTTCGCTACCGTATATCAATTAATAATTTAAAAACGATTTGAAGATTATAGACCATACTTTAACTATGTTCACTGAAAACAATCATTGAAGCCATTCAGAAATTAAGGACCATAATAGGTGAGAACAGCTGTGTACCAGGTGATTGATCACTAATTACTGTATATACACAGCCACCAGGCCCGTAGGAAGCAATTTCAGTTTGTTTGTTTTTTTGGGCGGGGGGGGGGGGGGCACAGCCAAACATTTTTCAATTGACAGTTGAGGGGGCACTACCAAAAAATTCCTGACAAGCAAAAAAAGAAAAGGTCATCAGACGTTTTTATTGAGGGGGCACACGCAATATAATATCTATGTTTACTATAGTAATCTATATATCGGCAAAATTATTGGGGGGGGGGGGGCACGACCCCCCCCCCCCGGTTCCTACGGCCATGGCAACAGGCGATAACGGGTGTTTTACAGGTGTAGATGACGACGCGCCAATTACCGTATGTATATTTAAGTTATTGATAAAAATATGTACTTTGAAATAAGAAAAAAATACACTTCCGTGTAACCGAGTACCATTTTTAGTATTCGATACTCGGACGTTCGATCGAATACCCGGTTAAGCGGGTACTCGTTGACATTCCTAATATATATATATATATATATATAGAGAGAGAGAGAGAGAGAATTTTCATGGTAGAGAAAAATCATAATTGCTCCTTTTTCCCTTTAAGTCACATCCATCGAACCTCTTACAGACTGTATTAAAATAAAAGTAACGAAATCATGCTATTAAACAATCATTTCAAACAGTCCCATTTCCCTTTTATAAAATTTACGAGAACTGTTGGGAAGAAATCAACCCCTAAAAATCTTTAAAACGTCTATATCTCAGATTCTGAAGTGACATCATCACTGAAAAAGTGTTAAATCAGGTTCAAATAATTATTTATTATACCTAAAATTTGCAAGAATGTTGACCGAGCCGTGCACATTTTTTTTCAAAGTGCGTTAATATGGTCGATATTAACGCACTTTGAAAAAAAAAATTAAATTTTTCAAAGTGCGTTAACGTGGTCCCAAAATTAACGCACTTTGAAAAAATTTTTCAAAGTGCGTAATTTTTCAAAGTGCGTTGTAACATGACTGTTGAGCACTGTAGAGTAATTTCAAACATACTTTTCACAGTCTTGTAGTATATAGCTATCAGGGGGGATTAAAAAATATAATTTCCGTTCCCGAACCCATGTTGTTTATTATGACATAGCTTGATCCTTTAATGAAATACGTACTTGGTATTTTGGCTTTTGAGATGGAGCACCGCTTATATTGTTTAGAATGTAGAAGATCAATAAGCCGAGAAAGAGCTTTAGCTGCTGAAGCATTGACATTAAATATAAACACACAGTTTACTGAAAAATATTATTAAAAGCAATATACTGTATACAGGGAAATATCCGCCTCCGTTTTATTCGCCCCTTTCCCTCTACTCACAGGTAGGCGAATTTGAAAAGGGGCGAATTCAAAGAACACAGTATAATTTCTTAAGGACAGACGATACGTTCCTCAATAATATATAATTTTTTCCAAGATTTTGTCATTGAAGTATTGCTACTTTAACATGTTTACTCACAAAAAATTGAGGTACCTTACCAGGCATTTGTGCATGATACCAGAGGATAGTTTTCCTTGTATAATCCTTTTGGAAAAAATTTAATTTGCCAATATCAAATTTTTTAGTGTTTCGATTTTTTAAAGACGATTAGAAACTGGTTTAGAAATAATAAAGTAATTAATTTTTTAAATATTTTTCATACTTTACGAAGATACACAAAACAGATATTTGAGGTACGTATCGTCTGACCTTAAATCGAATTGGCCGCCACGGTAGCTCAGTCGGTAGTCCGTGATCGGAAGGTCGTGTGTTCGAACCACGGCCGCGACTGACCTAAGTCAATAAAAAATAACAATTGTTCCTTCGCCAGGCTAAGTTGCGGGTCCTTCGGATGAGATTTTAAAAACCGAGACCCCGTGTCACGGGAGGGTTGGCAAAAAACTGGGAAATACTCATCTTTCCCAGGACGGTGGGAAGTACTGGTAATTACCGGGAATTACTGGTATTTCCCGGGAAATACTGGGAATAAGAAATAGCTACATTTTTCATTCATATTGACATGTAGTACACCTTATTGGCTAAGATATCTACCTGGTTACCACTTCCCTGATTTAAAAATTTCTGATTTCCAAGGAATTCATTTTATATAATCATAACACAGCATACTCATATACCAGTCATGAATGTCATTTGCTTCATGCTTGAGTCAGATGTAGTCTGTAAAGGTTCATGAAATGAACCCAAAGATCCCAATTGGGATTTTTATGTAACTAAAGAAGGATCTAAGAAAATTCTTAAATGTAGAGTATGGTGTAAATATCAAACCTAAGAAGAAGTCTTTCAGTTCTGCTCAAGGTAATTATCTCTCAAAACAGGAGCACAAAACTGTCCAGAGCAATTTGTTAAAACAACATGATTGATTGTAATAACTACTGTAACAGTGTTTATAGAAGGATTAAAACATTTTTTTTTGTTCTTGGATTCAAAATTAATAAACTTAATAATTTTACAGAATGAAAAGAAACTTGAATTGGAAAACTTCAGTTTTATACAGCAAGAGAAATGTTTCAGAATGCTTATGGGTATGGTACCTGGAGTAGTGATACCTTCTGAATATGTTAAATTGCAATTTGAGACATATTCCATATTATTCATTTTCTGTTTTTATGTCTATTTTATTTTTGAATTTTGTATAAGATTGAAAGAATCAAAGAAATAAAAAAACTTTAACTTTGTATTTCCCAATATTTCCCAGTTTGAAGAAAATTTGTAGTATTTCCCAGGACGGGAAATACCGGTATTTACCACTGGTATTTCCCGGCCAACCCTGCCTGAGTGCCGAGTAAAGGCCTAAATTTGAAGCCCTTCAGCGGTATATGGTGACGTCTTTATATAAGTGAAAAATTATCGAATAGGACGTAAAACAACATTCAATCAATCAATCAATAAACAGAATTGTGACTTTGCGAATTTAAAAAGGGGCAAAATTGTTTGAAAGGGCGAAAATAACACGGGGCGAAAAAAACCCTGTATACAGTATGCATTTAAAATAAAAATGCAGTCTTCAAGTTCAACCCATTTCACGTTCTTAATTTGCTCTGTTTCTCAAAAATGTTTTTCAGCATTGGGCGTCGATGGTGCTTGTTCCTTTATTCAGTGTCTAGCGGTTTTACTTTATGTTGCATCCTTGTCACACACATCATAAAAACCATGAATACCAATGTTGATATGACTCTAGGGATTACCATATTTGGAAAGCTCGGTGTGACGTCAACAGTTATTCTCATATCATTGGTTACTCTGGAAGTATACCCAACCTCCATAAGGTGAGAAGAAGAAATAAGACAAGTTCGTCTTTTGATTATCTTTAATAGTTCTTGATATCAACCGAAAAGGTAACTAGTGTAATTTGCTTTGTTGCAGATGCATGGGCTTTGCCGTTGGTCTTTCCTCGGGAATCGTAGGTCTCTGTCTTGGGCGGTTTTTGTATATAGAGTTCTTCCATGTAAGTGAAATCCATTGGCAAAATTTTTGCTTCTCTATCATTAATACTGACGTCTCTTCAAACTATTCAGATTTATATGTTTAAAAATTTCTGTTTTAAACATGATAGTTGCATTATTTTTTATCATATTTTAGAAAGTCCACTTTTCTTACCCATATATTTGTTACGGTGTTGTGATGGGATTGGTCGGTTGCGCATGCTTGCTGTTCCCAGAAACGTCAAGTAAACCTTTGCCAGACTTGGTCAGAAGCAGACACAGAATGATCAGCATGAAGGAGGTAACTCGACTGTCCAGTGCCTGGGAAGCTCATTGATGAGGTGGTGTCTGGAGTTTTGCTTTCCGAACCCTGAAAAAGTAAATACTCAGTAAGCTATTGGAAGCTAAGCATGCAACATTGTATTTCTCAACAAAATCTGTATTTTTGTCTGAGAAAAATACTAGTTTTGTCTAAAATACAAAATAGTTTTTATTCCTCTGCTTCAGGGCTTACCCTAAAGTCTTTGTGATTGGATTCATGATTCTTGGAACATGCGTCGGTTGGCTTTGCTTCATACAGTGTTGGATTTTGGAAAGACACTGATGACAGGATTTTGTTTGATGTTGGAAGAAATGGTAATGAAATAGGTCGAGGATGTTTATGGAATCTTTTTTATTATATCTTGTTACATATATGTATTGACAATAAAATTATTATTTGCATTCTGTTTTCTGTCTGGATTACGTGGGGAACTTATTTGTATATGAAGCATTACTCATTGTTAACTCTTTTCAATGTTACCTGTAGCTGTCTGATAAGTTGAATCTTATTAGACACCTACAAGTTACTTATTGGACGGAGTGTGGGACTATTAGAAATTTACTGGAACAGATTTAACAAAAGGTAACGTCACAAAAATATGTTTTAAGTAAAATTATCCAACTTTAAATGATTTTCATGTCTTTCAACTGATTTAGTGCGCAAGAGCATGTTCTGAGACAAAAAAGTTGAAACAAGAATATCGGCAATCTCGTTTAAAATCGTCATTTCGTAAGTTTTATGTTCGATACAATGACCTTGTCAGCAAATACAATTTAACATTAAGTCAAATGCTGACTGACGTTTTTCATACTAATTGTTAGGCCATTATTTACACACTGAATTGCCGATGGATTTTTCCGTTATTACCCGATCATGACAAGGAGCACACGGCGGGTGTGACTGGTCTGCAGGGGATGCTTATTCCTCCATGGCATCTGATCCCAACTCTGTTTTAGAGGTTCGTTTTTGCTCTGCTCCAAAATTTGTATTGTTTAATGGACTTTTGAGCTTGAATACTGTTCATTATCTCTATACATTTCATGAATAACCGAGGCAGGCTACTGACCAAAAAATTAATGCTAAAGGGCTTTCAACAATCTCGTTTAAAATCAGGAAATTCTATGGTTGTTATAATGACTTGATTTGCAAATTCAATCCATCCTTGGGTCGTATTTTGGCTGACATATTTCATACCAATTGTTAGGCCATTGTTTTATTCTATTTTGACTACGCATCACTACGCGTTTCTGATCATTACACAGGGCTCAAGGCAGGCGTGACCGGTCAACAGGGGATGATTTCTGCTCCTAGACATCTGATTTCACCTTTGGTTTTTCCAGAGGTTTGTTTTTTCATCCCTTTCGCGTTTCGTATTGTTTACAGAATTTATGAGATTTTAACAGTTCTTTTTTTCTTGTGTTCTCTCGGATAAAAACAAAATGCAGAAATTTCCAATAAATTATATACGACATGCATAGATTAATCACAGCTAATTTAAATGGACGACATAAAGTTGAAAGAGTTTTTGATCAAGGTCTTTATAATAATTTTCTCCCTCATACCTGCATGTATACATCTTGATGAAATATAATGCATAATAGTTCCGTCACTGGGTGGATCCTCCTTCATTGTTTGATTTGGTGCTGTCCACTACAACCCAACCTCCAGAGGTGTGCCGATTGGGGTAATCAAGTCCCAACCCGAAACACTCAGCACTCCTTGTTCATGAAAACTGCAATACAATGTCCTTACACTGTACATAAACACAGTGCCACTAGTGTTGTACTTTGCACTGTTCTCGCTCCTTCCATACTCACATGATGTCATTTCAGCTTCTCTACTCGGAAGTCTGATGAGTTGCCACCTCTCGGTGCCTGTCACTCCGATGACCCGCAAGGCCCTTTAATGGATTGCCTCGCAAATCCTCGACATCCAACTTGGAAGACACCAGACTCTCCTGCCTCGCTGCTGATCGTGTTGGTATTTGCTCAGCTTCCGTGAGAACTGCTTACTACCTCTTAATTTTCACCCAGTAGCTAATTCATCGTTTGGAATATGATTGATGGAACCCTGTAGATGTGCAATAAGATTTTTGAATTTTCATTTTCATCCGGGGGGGCATGAGAATCAAAAAACGATTTTTCTACAGATTCTGGTTCCAAAAACTCCTTTTACAGTTTAAGCAGTAGGAAAATCCTTTTTAGAAATTTGATTTGTGGTGTCCTGTAGATCTGTAATTTAGTTTCAGAATTTTTATTTTCATCCAGGTGGCCGATTTGGCCGAAAACAACGTTTTAATACAAAACATTGATTCCCAGAAATCTTCTCACACTTTCAACAGTAGCGAATTACTCTGGAATATGATTGGCGGGTCTTGTAGATGTGCAATAAGGTTTTGGAATTTGTAAGTCCCACTGCGGGACGTGAAGACCGGTACTTCGGATGAGACCGTATAAACCGAGGTCCCGTGTCGCAGTAGGTGTTGGCACGAAAAAGATCCATTACTGCTCAATGGCCCTAAGTGCCGAGTATAGGTCAAAATTTGCAGCTCTCCACCGGCAAGTGGTGGCGTCTCCATATGAGTGAAAAAATCTCGAGAGGGACGTTAAACAACAAACAAACAAAACACTTCAATGAACAACAGGTCCATGGCCACATCGTCACCTAAGCACTTTGGCTAGAGAAAAGCAGAAATCAGACAGTATTGAAAAGTTTAAGGACGAGTGCAACACCAAAATTTCATTTAAGGGATCATAACGACATATCTTTTGAAATATGGTTCTAGCTTGAAAGGCTGATATTATCCCTTAATTATTTTATATGATTTTTTTTTTCTTTTTTCAGAAAAAATGCGAAAACGATTTTAATTGCAATTAAGGACATATGCAACATACCTTACCTACTGATAATTTTTCAAGATATTCTTAATATAAGATTATAATGCCATCAGATGTTTGTACACAAAAATTCAGCATGCATTACCAGGGGTTTTGAAAAGATATCAATTGATGAAAATTATTGTATAATTCAAAGAAAAATATACAAAAAATACTAAACATATATTCTAAATGTTTTGTTTATCCAAACTTGTTTTAGAAGAAGTGTACAGCAGCATATATGGACATTAAAATGTAGCACACAGTTCCTTTAAGTATTGGAACTCTTCAACTCCAGGGGAAAAGACAATAAAGTTCAAACTACGTTGCGTATGTCCTTAAGTTGCTTTAGAGTTTATGATTTGTCGTTAATAAATGCATAATATATAAATCTAATAAAAAGTGTCAAGAAGACTCAGCATTTTAATTTAAAGAAAAAAAAAGAATTATGAAAATAAAACACAGTATTGGTTAATATTTTTTAAACCTATGGATACAATCTTGAAGAAACAAGTCACAAATAGGAAAGATATTAAACTCAGTCATATCTTAAAAGAAATTGAAATTGTGAAACTTAAGAAAAAATGCAAATTTTCAAATCTGAACCAATCCCGATTGAAATTAAGCCGATCCCGATGGAAGTCAATACAAAATTCATAATTACTGAATTACTGCCTATCTCATGCAGTTTTTACTGTGAAATCCATATGATCTGTCTGTAAACTTTTCACATTTTTGACTTCTTCTCAAGAACCAGTGGGCCAATTTCAATCAAACTTGCAACAAAGTATCCTTGGGTAAAGATGATTCAACTTTGTTCAAATTCTTCTAAGTGGAGATAATTATGAATATGTAAAAAATTAATGGGATGATTTAAAAATCTTCTCAAGAAATGCTGTGCTTGAAAATATGAAACTTATGTGGAATCATCCTCAGGTAATGTAGATTCGATTTTGTTAAAATCATGACCCCCGGGGGTAGAGTGGGGCCACAATGGGAGATCAAAGTTTTACATAGTAATACATAGGAACAATCTTTTAAAAATCTTCTTTTCAGGGACAGCAAAGCCATGATTGGTCATATTTATATGGAAGCATCTTCAGGTAGTGTAGAATCAAGTTTGTTCAATTCATGACCCACGGGGTTAGGGTGAGGCCACAATGGGCGATCAAAGTTTTATATAGGAATACATAGGAAAATCTTTAAATATCTTCTTCTCAAGAACAGCAAAGCCATGATTGGTCATATTTATATGGAAGCATCTTCAGGTAGTGTAGAATCAAGTTTGTTCAATTCATGACCCACGGGGTTAGGGTGAGGCCACAATGGGCGATCAAAGTTTTATATAGGAATACATAGGAAAATCTTTAAATATCTTCTTCTCAAGAACAGCAAAGCCATGATTAGTCATATTTATTTGGAAGCATCCTCAGGTAGTGTAGATTCAAGTTTGTTCAAATCATAACCCCCAGAGTTAGGTAGGGGCCACAATGGGCGATCATAAATCTAATTGGAATATATAGGAAAAATCTTTTTAAAAATCTTTTTTTCATTAACAGGAAAGCCATGATTTGTCATATTTATTAGGAAGCATCCTCAGGTAGTGTAGAATCAAGTTTGTTCAAATCATGACCACCGGGGTTAGAGTGGGGCCACGATGGGCGATCAAAGTTTTATATAGGAATGAAAATCTTTAAAAATTTTCTTCTTAAGAACATCAAAGCCATAATTAGTTATATTTATTTAGAAACGTCCTCAGGTAGTGTTGATTCAAGTTTGTTCAAATCATGACACCCGAGGTTAGGGTGGGGCCACAATGGACGATCAAAGTTTCATATAGGATTACATAGGAAAAATCTTGAAAAAATCTTTTTCTCAAGAATTGCAAAGCCATGATTAGTCATATTTATTTGGAAGCATCCTAAGGTAGTGTAGATACAAGTTTGTTCAAATCATGACCCCCGGGGGTAGAGTGGGGCAACAGTGGGCGATCAAAGTTTTACATAGGAATACATAGGAAAATCTTCAATAAATATTCTCTTTAAGAACAGCAAAACCATGATTTTATCATATTTATATGGAAGCATCCTCAGGTAGTGCAGATTCAAGTTTGTTCAAATCATTACCCCCAAAGTTAGGGTGAGGCCACAATGGGCGATCAATGTTTTACATAGGAATACATAGGAAAAATCTTTTTAAAAATCTTTTTTTCATTAACAGGAAAGCCATGATTTGTCATAATAATAAAGAAGCATTCTCAGGTAATTTTAATTCAAATTTGTTCAAATCAGAACCCCCCCCCCCCCCCCAAGGAGTATAGATGGGCCATAACAGGGAATCATAGTTATACATAGGAATATAAAGGATATATCAATATATTATAAAATTCTTTTCAAGAAGCCATTATTGGTCATCTTACTTCAGAAGCATCCTCAGGTAGTGTAGATTCAAGTTTGTTCAAATCCCCCCCCCCCCTCCCTCAACGGGACCACTTTTCAATACTGAACTGGTTTCTGCTTTTCCCTAGCCAAAGTGCTCAAGTGAGTGATGTGGCCCATGGGCCTCTTGTTTATAATTCTGGTTCGGAATGGTTTAATTTTGATCGGGATTGGTCCAAATTTGAAAATCTTATCATAAAATCTTATCTCAAGCATCTTATTTGCAAATCAAACATTTTTTTTTTTCATTTTCTTCGAAAAAATATTTTTATAAATCATATAAAATGATTAAGAGCTAATATAAAGATCCATGAAATAAAATGTTGTTGTGGCATTCCAACTTAAATACCTGTCCCCTAATCCCCCCCCCCCCCCTACCCGCCTGAGAGGCAGGGAAGGGTCATGATTTGAACAAACATGAATCTACATTACCTGCGGATGCTTCCATATAAATACGGCCAATCATGACCTTGCTGATTTTGAGAAGAATTTTATAGATTTTTCCTTTGTAAAACTATGATCGTCCAATGTGGCCCCACCCTACCCATTGGGGTCATGATTTGTACACTACCTGAGGCTGGTTCCATATTAGTATGACTCATCATGGCTTTGCTGTACTTGGGAAGATTTTTCCTATGTCTTTTTTATGTTAAACTTTGATTGCAAATTGTGGTCCATCCTATCCCCGAGGGTCATGATTTGACAAAAAACCTGAGGATGCTTACATATAAATATGACTTATCATGACTTTGCTTTTGGTAAGATTTTAAAAGATTTCCCTATCTATTCCGCTGTAAAACATTAATCGCCTATTATGGCCCTGCCCTAGCTCTGGGGGTCATGATTTGAACAAACTTGAATCTATACTACTAGTATATAATGAAGTTTTCACATAAGTTTCATCTTTTCTGGCCCAGTGGTTATTGATAAGATTTTTAAAAGATGCCATCAAATTTTCACTGATTCTGAATTATCTCCCTTTGAAAGGGGGCTTGGCCTACTTAAATCCCCTTAACCCAAGGATGTTTTGTGACAAGTTTGGTTGGAAATGGCTCAGAACTTTTGAAGAAATCGAAAATGTGAAAAGTTTACACACAACAGATGACAGATAGATGCCCACATCTTCTGAGCATTCTGAAACAGTTACCCTTCTGTCACAAACAGAGAACAGAACAAAGATATATTTTCTTACGTTTATTGACTGGAGATTGGTGTGAGGTGATATTGATGACAATAATGTCAGGACAACTTCATCTACCACTGTCTACTTAAAAAAATACTTTTGTCTCATTACTCAATTCACAATTTCTTTAACAAATTTTGCTTACAAAAAATGTCAATAAATAAGATACATATAGTTTTCTTAATAAGAAATTATTATTTTACTATCAAGTAAGACTGATATGAATAACCTCAATATAAGGGCTTATAAACATGAATACTTTTTTTTTCATATCTAAAATACAATGTTTGGAAAAAAAAAAACAAACAAAAGAGGCCTAGGGGCCACATAGCTCACCTGAGCACTTTGGCTAGGAAAAAGCAGAAATTAGTTCAGTATTGAAAAGTTTAAACATAAAAGTGGTAATTGGGGGGTTTAACAAACTTGAATCTACACTACCTGAAGATGCTTGTACATGTATATAAATATGACCAATCATGGCTTTGCTGTTCTTGAGAAGATTTTTCGCTTTGCATTCCTGTGTAAAACTTCGATCACCCACTGTGGCCCCACTCAACCACCAGGGGTGATGAATTGAACAAATCTGAATCTACACTACCTCACAATAATTCAACACAAGTTTCACATTTTCAAGCACAGTGGTTCTTGAGAAGAAGATTTTTAAATGATGCCATTAATTTTTCACCAATTCATAATTATCTCCCCTTGGAAGAAGGTGTGGCCCTTCATTTGAACAAACCTGAACCCCCTTTACCCAAGGATAGTTTGTGGCAAGTTTGGTTAAAACTGGCCAAGTGGTTCTAGAGAAGAAATTGAAAATGTGAAAAGATTACGACAACAGATAATGGACAAATTCCAATCAGAAAAGCTCACTTGAACCTTCTGCTCAGGTGTGCTAAAAATCAAGAGTAGGAGGGTACTTTCAAAATTCACACTTGAAAACTTAAAAGTTAGAGCCTGTTATTCATACATACATTACTTTTTTACAGCTCAATTTTCCTGAACAATTACATTCAATTTGGTGCATAAAATTTGAATTTTCATTGACTAGGTAATGACAGAAATTTAATTTTCAGATTAATACATGTGTATAAAAAGATGCTAGACACTCACATTTATTAGATGTTGATAAGTGCATAATCTGAACATTGTTTACAGATGAAGTGCATAGGGTACATTAAAAGAACTATCTACCAGAGATACAGTGATGAACACAGAGAACAAGTCCCGTGACAGGGACACAGAGATCGAAATCTACCTGCTGACTGAAATATTGAAATCTACTACATAAGTGATACAAGCTGAGATCAACTTTTGTCATGTTTTGGGACACTGGTCTTGCATACTGACTATGTTTTTCAAGGCTGCTGTATATGTAAACAATATTGTTTGTATATCTACTATGCATACAAGCATGAATTTGTTAAAAATCAATTGAAGTGTTTTCAACCCTGTATATTTGGGCAATCAATAATTATAAGCCAACACATAGTGAATGCAATAGAACAATGAATATACCCCCCATCCCTGTCTCAATAAAATGTAAAATTCTGCATGCCAAAGTAATAAACAGCTTTAGACCCTTATTTCCAAACATATTACTGATTGCAAATTATTATTCAGTTTTGTTAAGATTTGCATAGCCAATCATTCAAAAGCATATGACAAAAAAATTAGCAACATTTTGAAATTACTCTTGTCATTCATTTTTTTTTCAGATGAAGAATCTTTCAAACGTATTTCTCCCCTACCGTACATTTGTAAATACAATCACTCTTAAAAAAATTAGGTATCTTTGTAATTCACATCTTTCCAAGAAAATAATTTTTAGTCATTTATATGCCATGGAAGACAATAACCATTAGTTTAATACTACGTTGTTGATAAATAAATACTAGGTTTTTTGTCTTAAATATATGAGTAATGCTTATGTGGTGTGGAAAATGAATAAATATACATATATGAATTATATATATTTGTGATATATGAATAAACACTAAATGCAGTTGCAACAAAGTTAAATGTTCACTTTATCTTTGTTTATAAAAATAGAACAACAGGGGAATGAAGCAACTCTAGAAATATTTTCCAGTAAAATGAGGAATATTGTACTTTGTTCAGCAACAATGAAGTCTAGTTGCTTTCTTATTGCATTCTGGTGTATGCTCAGCACACTAGTTTGTTTTTTTTTCTTAAAGATCAGAGTCAAACAATTCAAGAACAATCATTTGTACAAAAGATGTTAAGACATGTTCAGATGATTTCATGTTTGTTCTTTCAACATTCTTGTTTCAAATAATAACCAAAGGATGGTAATATCTTTTTAGGGTGAACTGATAAATATTAATTTAGAGTCGTTCGATGTTTCAACATAGTCTCAAAATGACCAAAAATCTCAAATAATTTATGTAATATACTTTAAATGAACATATTTTTTTTTATAGTGGGAAAGCTGAAATATTTTTCCTTATTTAAAAAAAAATTACTGACGAGTTCAAAACAATCAAGCAAGGATTTTAGTGTCACTTCTCAAACTTCCAAAATGAAGTTTTACCAAATTAACCATCAACGTATGATAAACTTTTCTTAGGGTTTTAAAAAAGTATATAGCTCTGTCAGATATTACTTCAATAGACCACAAGATTAACGTCAGTTTTCTCTCATTTCTTCTTTCTATTCCAAAAGAATGATCTTGAGCCACAAATAATCCAACATTCACTGCATCGTAAGATGTTGATATGTGTAAATATTAACTGATTTTTAACCTTCATGTCTCAGTAACTATGATAACCATAAAATTTTCATATACATACACTGTATACTTTCTTTTTAACATTAAATTCAAACCAGATTTTCTCGCACGTAACGTCACAAAAATATTTTCCTTCCAACATTATTACATCCATTCTGTTAAATTACATTCTCAACTACAGTGCATGTTATTTCATTTCCAACTATTAAACTATCAAATCATTTGGCAACGTGTGTATGTTACTAAGAGCTAATCCACTACAACATAGGAGGAAAATCAGTAGAAGACAACAAAAAAAAAAAAAACAAAGAAAAGTACAGCTTGTTTCATAAAACCAATTAAATATATATTTTCTTCAATGGACTGGTAAATGAAAAACAAGGACTATTACACAAAAAAGTTTTGTTTTGTTTTTTTTTCTCTCAACCAAATCCTGTAAGTAAACACAAACATTAAACAAACAATTGTAAAATATTGTCAGTATAAGGTATGACTTCAAAACTGTAAATAATAAAATACATAAAACATGAGTTCACAATCATAAATATATATTTTTTAAACATTTTCTTTACAAATTTTTGACACAAAAAAATAATAAAAATCTATACTAAATTCCTGATTTTTCATTTTTTTTCTTTTTTACACTGGACTATCCATAGCGTGTATCAGACATTTCCAGTGGCTAATGCATGTAAGATTCTTGTCCATAAGTCCTTTCGACAGGACTTTGACCTTCTAAGGCTCTGTAGTAATTCTTGAAACTGGACCAGACCCCCAGGTGTAAGGCAGAAGGCATTTCTTGCACTGCAGATAGTGCTGATAAAGTCCTCATAGTCTGACTGGTTTATATGATGGATTTTCTGATGAGCACATTGATTAAACCTAAGAAGGATAAAAAGAACTAAAGTAATTTTAACAGTCATTCTTAAGGTATTAATTTTCTAATTCACATAATAAAAAAAAAGTCAAATTTTAATTCCTAATACCTTTTCTTATTTTGATAATATTTATATTCATGTATTTGAACCTATAAATATTTTAAATAAGCTAACAAATGTTCTCTAATATTTCTATTAGCAAACAAAGTTCTTTGCAGTATTTAATTACTTACATATTGAGGCATTTCTGAATGAGTGGATTGAGGATGTTAGATCTCATGTGATTCTGAACTACAACAGGGTTACTTCTGGCCAAAACATGGGCTGCTTCTATAGCAATGTCATACAGTATAAAGGGACTGACCACAGCATTCACTGCACTGGCACAGAACTGCTGCAAGTAGTTGATTCCTGCAAAAGCAGAGAATAAGATTCATTTATGTGCAATGATAAATTCATGAAAATTTCATTAAGAAGAACCACTTTTGTAATCTATGCTGACTCCTAGATGACTAATTTAATCCCTGCAGTTGGAAATGTAGCAAATGTACTGTGGAATATTTTAGTTCACTGGGGTCAATGTTTGTAAATACCCAATTTTACTGCGTCAGGGATGAAATTTCATGAACTTATAATTACAGAAGATTCAATGAACCAATATACTGAAAGAGTTATTGTTCACTAGGATGTAAATTTGTGGAAAAAGGTGACCATTGAAATCCACAAATATTGGGCCCAACTAACAAAGATCATTTTGGAGTTATTAATGTATGATTATTTCCCCCCACAAAGCTATATTTTCCCCTTTAAATCAAGAGTAATAGACAAATTTTTAAACTCACGTTACAATCTAAATATGGACCTATCATTTCATTCAATGAAAGTTGAAAATGTGAAATGTAAATGATCACTAAACACAAGATAGACAATACACAAATGTTGATCAGAAAAGCTCCTGTGAGCCTTTGGCTCAGGTAAGCTAGAAGGAAGAACAGAAATAACAATTTCCTCAGGAGCTGTTACAAAACAAGATGATAAAGAGAAATATCAATAATGGCCTAACTTCAATCATAGAGCAACAAAATCAAGTGCTTTTTATCACATAATACAATCTTACCTAATTTGACAGCAATTCCAAGAAGCCACTTGACATCTTCTCCATATGGTGGATTACGAGCATATTTAGTCTGTGGTCTATCATCATGGACTCTTCTTGATAAGGTCTCCAAAGCCAGCATTCCTACTCTAAAAGAGGCCATGAGATAATTCAGCTGTGCCTCATTGTCTAGATGACTGGGTCCATGGTGTCCTTGTGTTGACCCCTGATGTGGTGGACTTGGAGAATTGGATGCTCCTTCAACCAAGGCTTCAGCCTGATGTATTGGTTGTGGGGGAGCCCCTGCAGCTGATGATGAAGGGGGGCACTGAATGGGGGTTATCTGACAATGTGAATGAGGGGGAAACACCTGAACTGCTGTACCAAGGGGCCTGAACTGTGGAGGATTTGCAGAATAGACATTAGGAGCTCCTTGCAGTTGAAGATTGTTGAATGGGGGCTGAGTTTGGTACGGGAAAGTAACATATGGATGAATATTATGACCATGGATGGGGATATGCTGTGGGGTAAACTGTTGACCAAATGGTGGAAGCTGCTGGACATAACCTATATGCTGGACCAGAGCTTGATGAGGTAGCTGGTGGTGATTGGCAGGTGGAATTGTGTAGGACAAAACCATGGGTTGGGCTGATAAGGTGGGATTAGCATGGGACATGACCTGATTGGATACTTGATGATTCGAAGATGATGACATGGGGAGAACTTGTAGTGTCTGTGGACTCTGCCTCTCTGTGCCCAAGGAAGAGGAATTTGAATTGTCACTGTCAAGTTCCACATGAGAATGACTGTGGGATATATTTGAAGTTTCATTCGATTTGGCAGCCTCTTCTGATAACTCAAACCACTGCCTGGCTACATCAAACAGAACTTCAGGATACACACCTCCTCCTTTTGCAGCACTTTCTACAGCAAGGCAAGCTCTCTCTAACATGTCTCTACTCTGCTCCTTACACTGGAAGATGGCTCGCTGTACTTCTGATGGGTTGAGAGCCTGAGCATGTGGGAGGCATGACAATGCCAGGTCTGCTGCTGCCCTCACCATGGCTGGATCACGCCCTCTTGATGCTTTATCAGCCAACGAAGCAACCTCTGGTGGTGTTAGGTGGCCTTCCCATGTGTCAATCAAAATGTTGATGGCAATGCTTCCTATATCTATTGCTTGACCTGTACAAAAAATATTTTACCATTGAGATAATTGTACATTTTCATGTTTATCCCAAAATTTGAATGACAGATTACAATAGAAATCCTCTTAAAAATTCAACACTATATCAATGCAGTCTCATTCTAGCAGCTTTTTGAACCTGTGAATGTCACTATTAAGTAGAAATAAAATACCAGTTATCATCTTTACAACATACATTCAACCTTGAAACAAAATCTGTTGGAGATGGTTATGTATATTAAAGGTGCATAGACACAGATTTGAAGTTTATATTTTCTCAAATTTTCTGTATAATATCACAACTTATATGTTGCTATAGCAAACTTATTTAATCTGGAAATTATTGAAACTATGAATTTCGGGAGGCGTTTGATTAACACATCCTTGCACTTTCACAATTTTTAACTTTATCCTTAATACTTAAGAAAGTAGCAATTTTGTTGTGTATTAATAAATAATATTACATCTATAATCCAGAAAATTCAGAGTAAAAATGTGCAAAAGCAAAACCCACTCACTTAAGTATTATCAGCCCGTGCTCAGTGTTGTGTAGTTGTGTAGAGAGTTTAACAAATTGAATACACCCGTGAAACATAGACTGTTTTTGTAAACAGGGCGCGAGCTCTGTTGTTAATGTTTACGTTTCACCGGGTGTTTTCAATTGTTAAACTCTGCACACACCACTGAGCACATACTGACAATACTGGTGAGAAGATTTTGCTTTCTTCATTTCTACTCTGAAATTTCTGCATTATAGTTTTGATATTTTTCATTAATAAACAACAAAATTGCTACTTTTCTAAAGTAATAAGAATAAAGTTAAAATTTGTGAAAGTGCAAGGATGTGTCTATCAAACGTGTCCAGAAATTCGAAGTTTCAATAACTTCCAGATAAAATAAGATTTTTATCAAATTTTCGTAAGAAATGCTATAGCAACATATAAGTCACGAAATTATACAGAAAATTTGAGTAAATATTAACTTCAAATCTGTGTCCAAGCACCTTTAAGTCATTTTCAATAACTAACAGTTAGTTGGTTGTTAAAAAATGATTTACATGTACAAAAACATCTCTAATAGATATGTTTCTGTTTCAAGTTACATGCATGTTATGAAAATGATTATTTCACTATTTTGGGAAATAAAGTGTCTTTTTTTCACTGATGAAGTTACCCAATAATTGAATTGAAATTGCTGAAAATTACTACAAATGACAAACCTGTAATCCAAGAAACATGAGAGGAGTATGTTCTAGAAAGCCAGTTTGGTGAAACACAATTGTTGAGACCCAAGGCATATACACCAATCTGGAATGCACACAAATGTAAGTTCCGGTGGGGCCCAGTAGTTGTGTTGGTGTTGGTTGGCTGTGTAAATAGTGAGGTGGAGCTATTTCCACCAGCCTTGCCCAGTACTGTTTTAGAAAGTTCAAACATGAAGTGAGCTATGGCTTCACTTGGCTGGTTAGGCACTGTTGGCATCATCCTGCTCTTACCTTTGAACCTATAAAAAAAAAGGAAAGTGATTAAAAAAAAAGGTCATAAACGATGCCCAAAGTGAACCAAGGGAGAAGAAATAAAAAGCTTTTTACATGTAAATGCCGATAAACTATCCACCTGGTGTAATAAATTTGAAAATAATAATTATGAAATTTTCGCTGCTTCAAATGACTGACAAACTCATGAAAATAGATGTGTTCATATGATGCAGTTGCATTAACAGTAAGCATGATCTTGCTAATTTTATGTACATGCATATAAACAATCAAGTCAAAGCTATAGTTAAAGTAATAGCATGAAAAAGTAATGTAATGATCTACATGATCTATATTTAGAAATTAAAGCCAAGCCAATTTACCCCCATGACCCTATGACTCTCCAAATCAAGCTCTTACCATGAAAAAAAAAACAAAATCATGGTGCAAATGATAACATCCCTCCCCATGTCACCTTCATATTCTAGAAAACAAGTCCAAATTCTTTTAACAACAGGAGATACCCATCTTTAATTAAATGAAAATCCAACCCAAGCCCTTCATCAGGCCCATCTATGGTGCAAATATAAAATCCCTATAAAAAACCTTTCCAGATTATTGCAAGGAAATCTAAATTCTATTTTCAGCAACAGAAGCTATGCTGTTTAACTCTGTAGCCCCACAAAAAATCTAAGGCTAGCTCTTCAGTGGACTAACCCATGGAGGAAATATGAACATCCCAACCTAAATCATTCTCCCGGTATTGCACAGAATTCAAATTTCAACTTTCATTTGATCCAATGATTCCAAAATCAATGCCATGCAAGCTCTTCATCAAACCATACACTGTGCAAATAAGAACATCCTTATTCAAACATTTATCAAATTATTACTTGGAAACCAAAGCTGGGTGGAAACACAGGAGAGTGAATAAGAGAAAACTACATACCTCCTGTTTTAAGGGGGACCGACCCTCTGATAAGAGAGCTAACTTTCCAAGTAAAATATCCTAGTATTACTCATAGTTTACTTTATCAGAGTTTAATTATCGAGACCCTTGAGCAGTCAATTCGATCAAACTTAACACAAGATGGAAACATTACCTTATATTTCCTTTGACTGTACTTTTCAAATTGTTTTTTTATGCTTGACAAAAAAACTTTTAAATCCAGTTTCAAAACCCTTAAAAATTGAATATGTTCTATCTTTTTAACGATCATCTTAAGAATGGTTTAATGTATCAAGCACCAAATGTAGAATTTTTATTAGTATTACATTTTTTTTCCAATGAAAAAATATTTATAAGAAAGATAACTCTTGCTAACAGATGTATTGTTTTCTTACAACCACATATAATATTGTGATATTCTGACTTAGGAAGCAGTGCTTCATTATGATTTCTAATATGAATTTAGTAGGTATGACACTAAACATTATTTTCATATACACCGCATATTTCTAATTTTATGTTGTGATAATAAATTATTACTCTTCCTAATCTCTGTGTTAAAATTTCTTCATATTATGATCTGACATAGAAATCATTTCTGAAAAAATAAGCAGCACTTCATACCTTATACTGTTTTTCATTTGATTTTGATGCTATAGCTCTTGATGAAAATCAATGTTGGGATGTTTAAAAAATTTTCGTGAAATTTGGAGCAGAGGGTCATTAGTCCTTAATGCTGGGGAATAAAAGAGAGTTCACTACCAACCTGGTATTCTTAACATTTGGTGTACTGCTTCTAGACTCCATAGACAACTGCTGAGATCTGAGAATTGGAGTGGGCATCATTCCTGGTGGACTACAAAAATAATTAAATCTTAGCATCCAGAAACTCAACACATATTTTATTACATATATCCTTTTAAGATTTTGAGATCCCACTCTCCATAACAAAAAGTATCTGAATATAAAAATATACCTATCATTGTCTCTCAATTTGACTCGAGGATCTTTCTCCCCTGAGCTGCTAGAACCTAGTGAGTCACTGTCAGCACTACTGCCACAGTCACTGCCTGGTCCCTGATGTTTACCCCATGTCCTCCTGATAAGGGTGGGAGAGTTGTCACTTGATGTGGTCTCTGGAGCACTACTGTCAATACTGGCCATACCTATTCAGAGATTGCGAAAAAAAGTAAAACAAATAAAAATTCTCCTTAAAGAAAAAAAAAATGAATGTAATTTGGACATTGTATGAAATATTACAAAATAATTTTTGAAAAAGATTTTTTTTTCAGACCTTGTGATGGTTTCTTTTTCTGTGCCATACATCTAAGCTTAGCTTCTAGAGCTCTGACTTCATCTTCCTCCTCCACTGCAGAACTATCTGTGTCTTTTCCACTGTAACAAACAGAAAACTTTAATTAAACACTAGAATTTTTTTCCTACTTTATTAAGGAAAGAATGTATACTCAAGAGATCATCAAGAACATAAAAGTATGGACTCAACATGTATAACTATACCTAGTTTTCACAAGATACCAAGCATACAAGTTACAACATCATATCTACAACAACCACAACCCAAAATCACAAAGGACTAAATGCCAATTACAGTACATATACATGTACAGTCATGTATCTTAACCAAAAACAACTAAGATAGACACATACCTATTGTACCTGAGGGGATAAGTTATTTTGGGCCGTGCTCCTGCTGATGCTCTACTGGGCACTGGGTTTACTTCATTAGGAATACTGACAGTTGGCTGAGTACTTGAACCATTCTTGGCTGTGCTGTCTGTCTTGGGGGTATTGGAGGTACCTGCTGCCTCAGCTCCTGCACTAGAAGTCTGAGGACTATGAGGGGTACTACTTATACTACTGCTAGCAGTGTTTGTGACATTAGATGAGGGGGTTTTCACTCCTAAATAGTTCACCAGGCTTGGTGCTTTGTATAACTGATGGACCTCCTTGTCTAACAACTTGTCCATGATCTACAAAAAAATTGAATTTAACTTGAGCACTGTGTTATTTTCAAATCACCATACATCCATTACTTTTATTGCTAGGATAATATAAACATAATTAAACACAGTCATTTAAAGTTTTTACACTTACACATATGATAAACTTTAACCAAACTTAAGCTACATGTATATAATTTGCATGCTGGAATTCAATTTTAAGCACACTGAATAGTAAATGTTTTATTTACCTTGCTGAGTTTGATAGGATCGTCCTTGTAGTGTACTAACATAGCAATAGCCAGTTCTCCTCTTTGTCTTCTAGTGCTTTCACACAACAGAGGATGCTCAGCTTCAGACACATTGGCCTTCAGACCTGCAAAATATAGTAGTCATATATTAGTCATTTATCGGTATAAACATGCATGTACATGTATCAATAAACAATCTTGAAAATTCAAAGTATTATAAATAATGCTTTCAAAATTTGCTTTCAAGTAAATTCATTAGGTACTATTTGTTTCCTTTTTATTGAGGATGATATATTCACATTATTGAATAAATCACTATTTCATCAAAAACTATGCACAGATATACATATAAACAGCTTGCAATAAAGTTGCCATTTTATACCAAGTGCTGCTACAGCTCCATCAAATCCAAGCTTTTCATCCACACTGGTCCGAACAGTAATCTGCACAGACCTACTAGGAGGGCGGCTACTGGAACAGCCAACTGGAAACACTGAAAACAAATGACATTATTATGCACATTTTCCAATATAATCTAAGTTTTAAATGCAACTTGAATATTCTGATCATTATCAATAGAAAATACCTGGTAGGCATAGAGAGTCAAAGATGAATGTTGCTAATGTTAGTGGAAGAAGTGCATCTCCACGAGTTTTAAATGTGCCATCTCTCAACTCTTCAGCTTTCTCACGTAAAACAGCTATCTCTGCAGGTCCTAAGGGAATCTTTTTCAACAGATTCAGTATTTCCGACTCCTGATAAGCTAATTTTACCTACAAAGTAGAGCTGAATTTAAATAAATACAGTCAAAACAGATTTTTTTTACCTTTTAAAACAAATTTCAACACTACAAAATATTAACACTTTGAAAATTAGGAAAGTCAAAAAACATCTACAGTGGAATTATCATTGCTCATGGGGTTTCGCGGGTCAACAATACCCATGAATTTACAGCCCCTCAAACAATATATTTGTCAATGTTTTGGTTCATTGACTATTCTGTATTTATGACTAACCCATGAAATTAGTCTGTTATTGTGGCAAGATTTATTGCAATCAGAATAAAACTGTAGGAGGAGTAGCCTTTTAAAATAATTTTACAGAAAATTCAATTTAAGTAACCATGGCAACATCATTCAACAAAATCAAAAGCGATAATGACAATTATGTATCTCAGTGCAGTCTACTTGTATGCCAAGTTATACTGAAATCAGACAAAACATGTAGGAGGAGTAGCGTTTTGAAAGTATTTCAATAAAATTCTATTTTTAGTAACCATGGCAACACCGTTCATCAAAATCCAAAACTGGTATAGAGAATTATGCATCTTAGTATAGTCTACTTGTGTGTCAAGTTATACTAAAATCAGACCAAAACTGTAGGAGGAGTAGCATTTTGAAAGTATTTCAAGGAAATTTCTATTTTTAGTAACCATGGCAACACTGTTTATCGAAATCAAAATCGGATACACAGAATTATGTATCTTAGTGTAGTCTACTTGTGTGCCAAGTTATATTGAAATGAGATTAAAACATACTGGTGCTGAAAATGATAAATAATTTATCTAATAATAAATTTTTCCTGGTTAACATACTTTCAATCAAATTTGGAACATAGTAAAAGTTTGTAATAATCTTAGTCATAAATATAATAACAATGCAATTTGAAAAACAAATGTAGATTGTTGCACAAATGATCTACAGGTAACAATATTCCATTTGTGTTTATCTCTAATTGACATTACATGCATTCTGATGGTCATACCCATGATAGAAGACAATGACCTTAATGGCTAGAGAAAGGTCAGTCTGAGATGAACTCAAACAGGATATACTGCTTGACTCTTTGTGTAGTAATTAACATGAGCAGATCAAATGACCTAATTTGAAGAAAATTAAATTAGATTGCAATCTAAATATGACCAGGGACATTTCTCATGTAATTTACCTCAAGGGCTTTGCTGGATGCTGGGGGTCTTGGCATTTCTAAACCAAACATTCCAACTTTAAATGCTAAATGGTGGCACTCTGATTCCTCAGCTAATACACTACATAGAAAGGCTGCCTTGGAGAGGGTAGAACTGGCCAATAGACTGATATTGGTTAATGCCTTTTTCTTCTTTCCTGAAATGCACAAAAAAATCCATGAAATTAACACAATATACATACAATGTATATCAAAAATCTTCCAATTCAGTGTTCCAGCTGTGCTCTGTGATAAACAGAATTGAAGGTCAATGTTAATGTTACCTTCACTTCATGTTTTATTTTATGAACGCTTTTGAATGTTTTATTTAATGAATGCTTTTGACTGTTGATGGATATATATATTTTTCTTTTTATTACGAGAATTATCATTATTCAGAAATAATAGGTGAGGGTATATTTGGTCTTGGAGATTTTTCTCTGGTTTACATTTCTGTGTACTGTAAGCATTTTGAGACTCAAATAAAATGCCAACAAGACTTAGCTATTAAAAAGGATAGCCTGGACATCCTCTGAAGTATTTCAGCTTGTGTGTTTGTTTTTGAACTCCTGTTCAGACTCTCAAGTGTTCAGAGCTATTACTTAAATTGATTTATCACCTATAATTTGGAGCAGGGACCTGTCTATATACCAGTATGACTCTGTTACAAGTATTGTGAGTTGAAAGTTAAATTGTGTAATCGTCAATGTAAGGGATGTGTGAATTGCTGACTTTCCTTAGGTATCACACTACTAATTTTAAGGACAGTCTGAGTGATATGTGGGGCTTATAAAGGTGCCTGTGGGGGGCACAGGAAAGGTGCTGATTTGAGGGCGGGGCCCTAAGATACAAGGGTCGGGGAATTTCCCCGCCAATAATGACTTTATCCCCCGGCTACTCTAGTCTTCCACCTCAACCCCTTGTTATGGGAAGTACCCTAGACCCCTTTCTACTTTTTTGTTGTCCCCTCCTATTTCAATTCTTAGGGACAACCCTGTCCTAGCTGGGATACTGTAATTGCACAGATAAACCGCAACTATTTCCTTGTGTAAGCCTTAAACTAATTATCAGAATGATTGCAATACCTTTGAGTGATGGAAGGTTAGCAGTTTCAGCCAGCAGATCTGGTGGGTTACTTAACAGTTCTTCAGCTAATTTCTGAGCAAGTCGACAAGCATCTCTGGTGTGGCCATGTGCATGAAGAGCCTCTGCTCGGGAAAACAATATCTGCTTCAAAGAACATAAATCTAATTAGGATAGGATCAAAAATTACAAAGTATGCACACTCCAAAATACAACCTTTTTCTGCACTTTTTATATTACAATTCTATTCAATCAAAATAAAACTTGAAATAAAAGAAATTTACGTCTTGCATGGAATTGAGATCTTTCACACCAGCAAACAGATTTGGTTCTTCTGATTTATCTCCTTTACTCTTGGAAGGCTCTGGAATTTTCGGATTGTTGAAGTAATAAATCTGATAGTCATCCAGTGGCCGAAGAACATCTAAATTTTCTGCCCTATGTGAGTGGGCATTCACTTCATCGATCATCTGTCTCTCACCCGCTTCATTCCCAAACATACCAATACTTATTCCTTCTGCCCCTCCTTCTGCTCCATCAAACACTTCATCTGTATTGCTGGCGCTCTGACAAAATACACCATTATCAGATCGCTCAAGTCCAAAACTACTAGATATCAGTTCTGGGGCATAATTTCGCAAGTCATGACTATCTAAAGAATTACTCCTACTGTTGACTTCTTTCATTTCTGATCCTGAGTCTGAATCTCCTCTGAATAATGAACTACTGCGTTCTGGTTCACAGAAACCTTCTGACCCTGAGCTAATCGCACCATCATTAACAATAGAATCTCTTTGACCAGCCAGGTTATTATTTCTCCTAATGTTTGAAAACTCTTGTGCATCTTGTAGCATACACTGTGCCTGTGCCAGAGTTGTCTTGTTATCTGTACTGATTATAGTGTCTAAGCAAAGTGGCATTGCTTGAATCCTGGATGGTTTTTTATTTTCCTTTTCACTATGTTTGTTGAATCTATATTTAACATAACAAGATCCTTCTTTTTCAGAATATGTAACACCAGGTATTGGATAATCTGACCATTCTAAATTACAGGCTTCAATACTTGGCTTGAATCCTATGAAATTCTCCATATCATTTTTCTTCAGTCCACTGTTAGCTGATCCACTCAGAGATGAGGATCGTGCCTTCTTCACATTTTCGATAGTTGAAATATGCCACTCCCTAAACTTGACGGCTAGGTCATCTCTCTGTATCGGTGACAGTTTGGGGTTCAGGGCAGACAATCTCCATAACGTGACTATCTCATCACAGAGACTGGAGGCAGCATGCTGTGTAGCATTTGCTCCAGATCCTCCATTTCCTCTCCCTATGTTGTTACTGTTGTTGTTTGTTACCTTTGTTGTAAACCACCATACAAGAATCTACAATTACAGTACAGTTTTCAATGTATAGGTCATAGGAAGATGTATTTTAACTAATTTCAACATAAATGAGATTCCACCTTATAAACAAATTCCTTAAAATAATTCATCAATTTAACTGCAGGTATTCCATATCACATTGAAAAAGAACATTTAACAAGAGATGTTTGTAAAACACTTATGCCCCCCCCCCCCAATAATTGGAATTTTCTAAGTCCAAGGGGCATAACTGTCAAAAATTGCTTTATCGTACCCAAAACAGAACTTTGCCTACATATTTTAGGAATGACTCTAATTCTTGGCCAAATTATTCGAGTATAACCTGGTTTGGGTCAGTTTACGCTTTATAATCCACGAAGCGGATTATAAAACAGCGTAAACTGACCCAAACCAGGTTATACTCGAATAATTTGGCCAAGAATTAGAGTCATTCCTTATAATTTAATTCTAAAATCATTAAATAACTAAGGGTGTAAAATTTCGTTGCTTTTTATTAGTTCAAATTTGCCGCTCAATGATACAACCTTAGTAACGGAAGTGATGGGAAGCGAGGGGAGGTAAAAACTGATGCATAGGCCTAGCAGCATTGTTGTTTGTTTACATGTGGTAAGACTCGAATTATTGTTAAGTTAAAGGTACATTTATTAAATCTGGAATTTTCCGTGAATCCCGAGGACTGGAAATAAGGGGATTGTATGGATACAGATAATTCAGCTGGTTGTCAGGGGGGTGTGTCCCCATACCAAACCAGGTTATACAGAAATAATTTGTGTTCCTTTTTGGATATTAACCAATCAGAGGCTAGAATACAAACAAAATTAAATTATTTTTATGATAAATCTGTATACCAAATTTCATTTCAGTATGTGCAACCTCTGCAAAGAAAATGAACGGAAACTGCAAATAATTGGAATTTTCCTAAGTCCAAGGGGCATAACTCTGTCAAAAATCGCTCCATCATACCCAAAACAAAATTTGACCTAGATATATTTATGATAAATCTGTATAACAAATTTCATTTCAGTATGTCCAACCTCTGCGAAGAAAATGAACGGAAACTGCAAATAATTGGAATTTTCCTAAGTCCATGGGGCAAAACTCTGTTAAAAATTGCTCGATCATACCCAGAACAGAACTTGACCTAGATATATTCTTATGATAAATCTTTATACCAAATTTCATTTCAGTATGTGCAACCTCTGCGAAGAAAATGAACAGAAACTTTTGGTGGACCGACAGACAGACAGCAGCAAAGCAATATGCTCTCCCTTCTTCGAAGGGGGGCATAAATGTAACAATTTTCTAGAATTAATTTCCATTTGTATAAGATAGGGCTTACAGAGTTCTCATTAAAGCAAGAATCTGTGTAATGTATGCAGCAAAATTATTTGGGACTCAATGTTAAAAAAATATGTGAACAAGCTCTTCAGTGGACATCTCCTTATTAGCACTAAAATTCTGGATTTTTTCAAAATCTGAAGATTTTATACATCAGGATTTGCCTGATTATAAATAAATTTTATATGCAAGTTCAATTGTAAAAATCACTTGTATTATTTGTCTCTCTCACAGGAATATGGTAATCAGATATTTCAAGATTATTAGGTAGTCCACGAAGCACATCCCAATAAGCAGTCTTTCAAATTTGGAATCTTGTATTCTACGTAGTAACACTAATTGATGCTCGTATACACATTGTTGCTTGATTATCTCGATATTTTCACCCACATTATATGACTGATAGGATTAGTTATGCTCCATTACATATGATAACTGTGAATATGGTCAACTAATCATTAAGAGTACTTAGATTAACTTGTCTGTTTAATTAGGCAATTATTTATGTTTGCTATATGAACATAAAATTGACAATTTAATGGCAAATAATTATGTGTGTAGTTGGGTATGCATCTATATAAACATTACATTTTATTTATTGCTTAAGTTGTTTTGAACAGATTTTATTGACAATATGTAAATGGGATTGGACACAAGTTCCAGTAACTTAGGTAGTTGTTGTTTGGATGGAATGATACTCAGTTGGGATTGAACCTTATTTTTTGGGGATGCATCAAATTCAGCTGGGACTCAACCCTCTCAAAAATCTCGAGTCCTGGGACTCAAGAAAATCCTATTTAGAACCTTGGGGCTTACCTGTTCACATTGCAGGACCTCATCAGTTATAATTTCAAGCAGTGGTACAGCATTACTGTCATTTCTCCTTAGCATTTCGCGTACAATTGATAGTAGGTTCCACATTCCCTCAGGCTCACGACCTCGTAGGGGGCGGAGTAAACTCTGCCATTCCGCAGCAGCAGGAGGAGCAGTCGCTGATAGATAATTAACATCACTGAAATAGATTAAAAACAAAATCAAGTTCAAATTTTTACGAATTCTTCATCTAAACTCTATTATTTTGTCTGATAGGGTTGACAATGATAAGTATTTCACATTTTCTTAAGAGACATCATAAACATTATTTCATCATCACTTGTACAGCTCAATTCCTTAAAAACTCTCTAATTTTGTTAAAATTAACGATCTAACAATGATATGTTATTGCCCTAACATTGCTTTCTGTATTTCTCTATCTGTAAATTTAAATATCAAATGACTTTAGTTCATGGCCATGACATGCACCTTTTTAACAGTCAGAGACAATGCCATTGGTTCTGGCTCAAAATACCTGCAAGGTCTAAAAACTATTTGTCAGATACATTGGCTTTTTTGCTTCTCATCACAAAGTTATAAATCAGACTCAAGGAAAAAAAAGAAATAATGACACAAAATTTGGGTGGAAACGTTTCCATTTTTGTTTCCAGGGGTGGAATAATGATGGTGCTACTTCACTCAAAAATCTCAAAACTTTTCACCTGAATACAATTGGAGAAGGGACACAGAATTTGACAAGAGTTTTCTTGACATTTTCATGCAGAGCTGATTCATCAAGACACCATGAGGTTTGTTCATTGGCAGAGGGCCCAGCTGTTGGATCTGAAAAGTACACATAAACAATGCATACATAGCTCTCTAGTGGTCTACAATATAAAATGTGTCAAACATGTCAGTCACAGTCAAGTTTTGTTCATGTATATTGCTTAAGAATTTCCTATCCATTTCCTGGGGACACTTAACACTTCATAACTACTTATTTGCTATGATCAAATTACACAAAATACCAACAGAGAACCAGTCATAAGATGTACTCCAGAACAACACTTATAATTCCTCCTTGTGATAAACAATTCTGATATCATATTGCATTTAAAGTTTTGATCAATTGATTCATTTCAGCACTGTCTGCTTAATGACAATCTCTCTGCTTATGCCTTCAGCAGTTACATGTAAATACACACATTTCAAAACACAAGTGCATTCAAAAGAAAAAAATTAGGGATGTCAACGAGTACCCGGTTAACCGGGTACTCGATCGAACGTCCGAGTATCAAATACTGAAAATGGTACTCGGTTACTCGGATGTGTATTTTTTCTTATTTTATAATACATATTTTTATCAAAAACTTATCAAAAAATGAATTAAATATGCATTCGGGTAATAAGCGTGTAGTCATCTACATATTTAAACACCCGTTATCGCCTATGGCTGTGTATATACAGTAATTAGTGACCAATCACCCAGCCGTTCTCACCTATTATGGTCCTTAATTTTTGGATGGCTTCAATTCCTGTTTTTCAGTGAACATCGTTTAATATGGTCCATTATCTCAAATCATTTTTAAATTATTTAGTTAATATACGGCAGCGAAATCGGACATGCATAGAAATGCCACTACCCACTTCAAAATAAGTAAAGATTCAAAAAAATGTTTAAAGTCAGTTTCCATAGTAAGTTTAGTGTATACGGGGGGAAACAACCAACATATGATAAAATATTAGACTAGCGATCCAAACAACGTCCTCTCCTTCTCTTTCGCTAGTCTAGTCATCACAAACCTGCGTAATAGATTGTCCTCCTCTTTATGAAATAGATCCTAAACAAGAACTGTAAACCATTTGTAATTTTTGATGTATTAATTGAGTCATTTGTGTTTATTTAATAAATGAATTTAGAACCAAAAATCATTCCCGTTGGATTCCATGTTTATATACATTCATAAAACGTGATAAAAACAGTTTTGGGGTTTAACAAATTAACAATTAAAAATTAACAAACTTATATTTACATTTTTACCGAGTACCCGGGTACTCGATCGGAAAAACGTCCGAGTAACCGATTATCAAAAATTGACCGATTTGACATCCCTAAAAAAAATCATTTTCATTTCACACCGTTTTAACTTCTTCAACTTTATAAATTCAAGCAGTTGTTGTTTTAATGAAATCAACTTGCCATCCTTATCTTTAACATCAGATACATGTATACATGTACAAAACAAAAGGTTGAGCACATACCTGGAGCTCCACAGACAGTGTTCATAGCATTCTCCTGGGAAGACAAAAGCTCATCTAGCAGCCGCTGTGCTGTAGGTAAAATCTGTAAAAGCAAATCCAGATTTCATTGCATATATTGTGCCAAAATCTAAAATAAATTATTGAATGGCACTATGACAAAGAATTACATTTACCTTCTTTCAAGTTAATTGCTCTACTTGTTATTTATCATTATAAAGTAGTAATATGTAATACATTTTCTGGCATGCAACCTTTAAATATTTGCAGCTGAGATGTAAAAATATTTTTAAAATATTAAAAACTAGGTATTCTGTTACATCAGATCAGAGCATCACTACGGGATCTTACCTGCTGTGGTAGTTCACTAATAAGATACTGGGCAAATTTCTGCAGCTGGTCTCTGTGTAGTCTGGACAGGGATTCTGATACAGGAGCTCTCAATTTCACTGATGGTGCCTATGACAGAAACAGAAAATATATTTTTAATTCTATTTATGTTTGAAAAAATACACAGAATAAAACTGTGTAACCACAAAATACTTCAGTGCAATATTATCTTACATCTAATTACCTGGAAACTTTTTCAAATATATAACTGAAATTCATTTGACTGCAGAAAGATTTAATGATTATTTATATGTGTATTGTCATGAATCAGACTCTTTTGCCACTTAATTTTAGCAATTCTGTATGCACTGCATGCATCAATTATCAACGCATGATATCACACACATTGCAGTATTGATGACATGACTTTACCTGGTGAATTCTATACAGACAGAGGGCTACAACATGTGAACACCAGGATGGCTGACTGTTACAGGTACATGTACAGGAAGAGATTCTCCTACGATCAAACACTACAGCCACATTGAAGTTTCCCTTAGCCTGCTGTATACCTTGTGGAGGTATCACTGATGCACTCAGGTGGAATCCTGTGATATACATGTATCAATTAAATAAGGCTTACTTATTTTGCATAAAATTAAAATCCATGTTTTCACAAGCCAATTTATATTTTAGTTAAAATATTTAACTTTGTACCAATTTGCAGGACTTCCTTGACTGATTTTGTTTTGTAGAGGTGCTCTCCTTTCTGGAATTCATCTGCACTGCCATTGGCCAAACAAGAATACAACCTGTAATAATTCAACATACAAATTGGTTTTCACACAAAATTTGATTTATCAATACAATCAACAAGTTTGAATTTATTTTTGGAATTAAAAGTCTTTCAATATAATTTTGCTATGGTTTTTCATTCTATTAAACCATCTTATTTTTTCAATGTTTTCCCCCAAGGCTTTACTATCAAGAAATCTCTGATAATCAATTACAAAACAATAAAGGTATCTATTTTCATTATCTTAAATATTGATTTTACCTAATGTCCTCTTCATTTTCAGGAAAACTCCAAAATGCAATCCTCAGCTGAATCTGTTCAGGAATGGGCTGTGGGAAGTGTTCCACTACTTCAAAAGGTATATGACAAGCTACTGCCTTTGAGGCTAATTCCACTAGCGAAGACACAGCTCCTGCTGTAAAACAAATCAATTCTAGTGAAAACACGTTCACACTGAAATGCTCTTTAAAAAATTATCCTTATCACCTCTCATTTGTGTCACTGTTTAAGAAATTTGCATGCATTATTCTTACATTAATCTGTTGCACATGCAAAATTAAAGTTCACTTTGCGATAGAAACCTTTTTTTTTTTTCTTACCAGCTGTAAATGATAAATGTGTAAAGATTTTGATGCAGAACATAAAAATTCAGAATGTAAAAAAAGTATGCATGTCACATGATTTAAAACAAAATCTTTTAATTTTATCTTAAACCACAGGCCTCTGAAGAATTTATAACTAAAGCCTTGTTAATGCGTTGCACTTTTTTTTAAATGAGATCCACCATACATAAATCTTTTAAGCAGACATGGCCAAAAAAAATTCTAGTACGTGTATTGTCTGCATATTTAAATTTCCCTTATTGTTAGTTAAGTTCAAAAAAATTATATAAAAAGGAAAAGGGATTTTTAAACATAATAATATAATCATAAATGCATGCTATTGACTACCTGAATTTCTACATTGGTCATGTCTATTTATATTGTTTTCCAAATTAAAAAAACAAAACAAAAAAACAACATCCTAGCCCCTCCCTCCCCCCCCCCCCCATAAAACACTAAGCTAATAAAGAATCTTAACTTCATAAATGACAGATGTATCAGTAAATTTTCTACTATTTACACACATGTAAGTTACTATGATATTCTAGAAGCAAATCATAAGTTGCATGCAATTCCTCTAAGTATCATTAATAATTAATCTACATTTCAATACATTAACCTATCAAATTGTGATGTAGAGACATCTCTTTGATGAATCTCTACAGCTAGAGAAGCACATAGTAAATTTGGGAACTCACAATTATATATACATATATATAGGTATGTTCTCGGGAACTCCCAACTTAAACGTGGGTTCAGTTAAACATTTTCAAGGAGTGGCCAGCATCCAGGGCCATTTCCACATAATGTCAGGGGTCCTTAGTCCACTTGTGGCCTTGGGACCCCTGAAAAACTTTAATTTTTTTAACAACTGACTGCACAGATGTCTTTCGCTGGAAATTGCAAACTTTCAACCAATCACATTAAGCCTTATTAATACATTATACCTTTCCATGACAATCAACCTGTAACATGCGTATTGAGATGTCAACAACTGGTCAGATATGAATCCTAAAACTTTACACAACTGCTCTTCCACAGTTAATGAATCATGGTAAATTATTTTTCTTCAGTTTTTCTTTTGCAATTTTTCTAAATTCACAGCACAGTCATCCTTTCTTCATACTGATCAATCTCAGAACTTACTTTCTGTTTACATTTTATGTCAACTTATGAAACCCAAATTTGATCAGTGCTTCTGGAATGAGAAAAGCTGGTCTGGCCGTCAGGGGGGAAAATATTGAAGTTTTTTTAAAGGTGTTCAATGGCCACAAGTGGACTCATGATCCTGACTTTGTGAGGATTCAGGGTCATAAAACTTTGATGTACTCACTTCTGATCTCAGTCACTTTTCAGAATAAAGTGAGGCCAAGTTCATGTTAACTTTGTGGCCCCAAAGCCATGACTTCTAAGTTCTATTAAGGTATAGTACATCTAACTACATCTCCCTAGATCATGCTAGATTATATACAGTTGATTTGATTATTTGAATCTTAGGTATTAATACTAAATCATCATGTTGTCCATCAATCATTACCCCTTCAATACCATGGAAAATACATAAGTTTAGGTATGATTCCCTCCATCACCAAGGGGAAAAAATGCATCAAGGGTAAAGTACTACATGTTCCACTGAATACAAAGTGTTTCTCTGTGTGGGCAATGTCGACTTCCAAAAAGTGAAAAATGTCAACCTAAAAATTCTTAACCTTGAGATCAAGACTAATATGCTTAAAACTGACAACTTTACTTGCAACTGAATATTACAGGAATATGTGTTCCTCCTCCAATATTAAAGTAAAAGAATGTGTATACATCTTTTTTTCTTCTTTATCTCAAATAACTGCAACATTTTATAATTGAATTGGACATTATTTTTCAAAATGTTTATCATTGATTGTTACCGGCTTCAAAAAAGTTACTTTACTGGCTACAAGAGAGGTGAACAACCTTAGGTGGTTCACCTTTCATAGAATATTGACCCATCAGGGTGATACGTCTTCTACTCATGCATGACTCAAAAAAGACCATTTGTAAATTTCTGCTTATAAACTAAAGGGACAAAGGAAACAATTTCATTAATCCTATGTTTCCGGCAAACTTACTCTGTTGTTTATTATTAGTCGCTTGCCCACCATTTTGTCTTTTCCAACCTCTCCAATTATTACAAAGACTCTCGGGTTCGCTTATCCAGGAGCAGAGCGAATCCTCCTCAAATCGCTCGCTATCTTCAAAAGAAAACCTATCGTTCTCATTTTCCCAGTCAAACATAAAGTCCATTATCTCGGCTCGCCTGCGATCTTCAAGTCTGAACGACTCCGAGCTTTTTGTTCCGTCAGCTGCTTGAGGACGAAGGTTCTAAATCCAATTTTATCGATTTGCAACGGGCATTTTTGGACAAAATGAATAAACTTCATCAAATATTGACTCCTAGCATTGTAAAGAAATACATTGCAGAAGATAAAACGACTAATTTCTGGTCATATTTGGCCTAATTAGTCGTCTGACTCCTTCGCCTGCCTGCACAACAATAACAAAATTTGTCGGGAGTGTTCGGCAAAGTCCGTGAGTCACGGCCGATGATTCGTAAATTTCCGGAAAAAGCCGGAAGCGGAAGTCCTTTTCTAAAACAAGAGATCAAGGTAAACATCAGTACATGATATGAGGTTAACAATCCACAGCCAATCTTTCAAATCTATGCATAAATATTCAGTCAGAGTACATCAAGATAAAATATTAAGTTTGTTCTACAAGGAAGATTCAATATTTTCTATCATAATCAAACTACAGGGTTTTAAAGTCCGTTATGATACAACCGGAATTTTATATTCCGAGTACTGGTGACATGAAGCATTCTTTTTTCCTAATGATAAAAATTATAAAATACATTTCAGATATTTTAATAGAATTATGATAGAAAGAAAGCTTTTTATATGAAATCAAATTTTTTAATTTTTCACTGACCCAATGTAAAAATCTCTGTGGTTTGACAAGTTACTTTCTGCCAGACAAAAGTGTTTTCATTTTTAAACCTTGAACTATTTGTTCACATGCTTTTTGCAGATGGCCCCACGTAAGGGAAAGAAGGAACAGACAGAACAAGTTGTTCTTGGCCCCCAAGTTAAAGAGGGCGAAAATGTTTTTGGAGTGGCTCACATATTTGCCAGCTTCAACGATACATTTGTACATGTCACTGACCTGTCTGGAAAGTAAGTGCATCAGAAATTGAGAAAAATGTGCAAGTGTAGTACTGGCATAGTTCTACCTGTTCACTCCATTGCTATAGATGTATAACATGTTTCCCAATATTTTTATATGATTATTTTCCTGGATGTGTTAGACATGCATGTTATTTGTGGAAGACCGTACTTGTCCACATTCTCAGAATAGCTGAGTTTCACTAGATACAACAGATGGAATCAAAGTGATATGATCTGTAACTTAGCATGCATTTTGATAAAGAATTATTTTGCATGCAACAAATTTCTTGGCCAAAGTTGTAGACAGTAGAGATTTTGTTAATAGCAAAATTTAGAAACTCAAATGTAATTTGATAATATTGGAAATTCACTGTTTATAGTCCTTCCATCTGTATGTCTGTCCATTCTTCTGTCCATCCATTTCACTTTGGGACACCCATCTCTTATCTGCAACTCATTGTATACCATTGAATAAAAAATTAAGACTTTCACACAATCTTTATTACATAATGCCATTGTATACCTCCTCTTTGATCAGCACACATATTTCAGGTTTCCCATAGCAAAACATGGACACTGACATTCCTTGTAAAATATGGGGGAGAACCACAGAATAAAATTTAATACTTTCACAGAATCTGTATTATATAGTGCCATTGTGCTCCTCCTATTTTTTTAATTGATTGGACAGATATTTTGGCTTTTCCATAGCAAAGAATGAACCTTACTCATATGGAAGTGGGGGTATCATTTTGTGAGCTTTCTTCTCACAGTACCTCTAGTTTATTAGATACTCCTTAAATTCTTATGAAATAATACTGTACCAGCACATTCAGGTCAAGGTCATAAATAAAGCCCAAAATGTACAAATTTACTGTAATAAGAATTGCCATTGCTTGAAACATTTTGTTTCAGTTTTTACACGTATTTACAGGTAATAATTTTGAAATTGTGTATTTTGGTTTAAAATGAAATTTGTTGTAAATAAAAATGCTACTTAAGCTATTTTATAAATTTTCAAATGTGATTTCATAATATTAAGAAAATGAAAAAAAGATAAATATTTTACTACCAAGAACCATAACTATTTCTTATTTCTATGGCACAAAAGAACAGTAACCTTGTTTCCCTAATATGCTTAATTCAGTTCATTGCCAAATTCATTATATCAACATGATTTCTAAATTACGAGAGGTGGACATTTTATATTGAGAATTGACTGTAGTTACAACACCAGAGTGTTGTAATTTTTAAGAAGGTACTATTTATAGCAAATTTGAATATAGTGTATGTGTACTTAAAAAAGCGGGCTTCATATTTTAGTGGCTTTGGCACAGACAACGATGCGCTAATTCATGAATACTGCTAAGAAATCATTTATATATACAATATATAGCACGGATGTGTATAGCGCTTCTTCATGATTTCGCCAACAACTCCATACCCAGTGGTTGCGCTTAATTTTGAATACACCAATTTATGTACACATACAGTATCCTAACAACTTATAAATGCTTTATTTATATTGGTGATTATAACAGTGCTGATCAGTTGCTGAAATTGGTACCTGTTGCTTTAAAAATCAGCACCCCTAAACACATAAAAAGTTAAATTCTTTTTCATCATAAATAAAAATTATATCAAATACTTAGTTTCCTTTTTAATTATTCTAGAGAGACCATTGCTCGTATCACCGGAGGTATGAAGGTAAAGGCAGACAGAGATGAGGCTTCTCCATATGCTGCTATGTTGGCAGCCCAGGATGTAGCTGAGAAGTGCAAGACTCTTGGGATCACAGCACTTCACATTAAACTGAGGGCCACTGGAGGAAACAGGTTAGTGTTTGGACTTGTACATCAATAGAGGAGCAACCGTGGTCTGAAAAGCATCGCCAAATTGCTGTTGAAAATGCATAATCTTGATTGTTCAAATGAAGGGCCACGTCCTCTTTCAAGGGGAGATAATTAGGAATTAGTGAAAAAATAATGGCATCATTTAAAAATCTTCTTCTCAAGAACCACTGGACCAGGAAAGATGAAACTTATGTGGAAACATCCTCAGGTGGTGTAGATTCAAGTTTGTTCAAATCATGACCCCCGGGGGTAGGGTGGGGCCACAATGGGGGATCAAAGTTCTACATAGATATATATAGGAAAATATCTTGAGAAATCTTCTTCTTAAGAACAGTAAAGCCATGATTGGTCATATTTATAGGGAAGCATCCTCAGGTGGTGTAGATTCAAGTTTGTTCAAATCATGACCCCCAGGGGTAGGATGGGGCCACAATGGGGGATCAAAGTTCTACATAGATATATATAGGAAAATATCTTTAAAAATCTTCTTCTTAAGAACAGCAAAGCCATGATTGGTCATATTTATATGGAAACATCCTGAGGTGGTGTAGATTCAAGTTTGTTCAAATCATGACCCCCGGGGTTAGGGTGGCACAACAATGGGGGATCAAAGTTCTATATAGACATATATAGGAAAATATCTTTAAAAATCTTCTTCTTAAGAACAGTAAAGCCATGATTGGTCATATTTATATGGAAGCATCCTCAGGTGGTGTAGATTAAAGTTAGTTCAAATCATGACCCCCGTGGGTAGGGTGGGGCCACAATGGGGATCATAATTTTACAGAGAAATATATAGGAAAATATCTTTAAAAATCTTCTTCTTAAGAACAGCAAAGCCATGATTGGTCATATTTATATGGAAGCATCCTCAGGTGGTGTAGATTCAAGTTTGTTCAAATCATGACCCCCAGGGGTAGGATGGGGCCACAATGGGGGATCAAAGTATGACACAGAAATATATAGGAAAATATCTTTAAAAATCTTCTTAAGAACAGTAAAGCCATGATTGGTCATATTTATATGGAAGCATCCTCAGGTAGTGTAGATTCAAGTTTGTTCAAATCATAACAACAACCCCCCCCCCCCTGGGGGGGATAGTATGGGGCCACAATGGGGGATCAAAGTTTTTCATAAAAGTATATAGAAAAAACTTTAAAAATCTTCCTCTCAAGATCAGCAAAGTCATGACTGGTCATATTTAAATGGAAGCATTCTCAGGTAGTGTAGATTCAAGTTTGTTCAAATCAGGGCCCCCAGGGGTAGGGTGGGGGCACAATGGAGGATCAAATTTTTACAAATGAATGTATGGGAAAAATTCTTCTGCTCAAGGATAGCAAAGCCATTTGTTATATTGATATGAAAGCATCATCAGGTAGTTTAAAATTTCCCCCCTCCCCCCTGTAAATTTTTCAATACTGAACTGATTTTTGCTTTTTTTCTCCTAGCCAATGTGCCCAGGTGAGCGATGTGGCCCATGGGCCTCTTGTTAATTTTTACTCCAGGTTTTCAATCAATTAAAACTAATAATACCGCTATAGTGTAAGAAAAGGTTGCTAACTAATTTGAAGAAAGCTTATGGTTTAATGCATAGTAATTAATATTTTTGTTTTGGAGACAAGAACACACAAAATATAAGATATGCAAAATATACTTCATTATCATTGCCCATAAGTTGATAACTAAGTCGCCTTGTCTACAACTAACATACCTGTGTGCACTTGAAAGCATATTGTCAGACAAGTGAAGAGCTGCATTTTAATTATCCTTTTTGAATTGCTAGAAATAGGAAAGATAATAAAACTAAAACAAATTAACATGTCTTAAATTATTCAGACAAACAAATTCAGAAAAACTGAGTATTATCAAAGGTAGTGGCAGTTACTTTGCATTGTTGTGCAAATTATTTATTTTGTTTTAGTACAAAATACAATAAAATTTACATGCTTAACATTTGCATAGACACTGCAATCAGTATGGATAAGAATGAACCAGCCCTCAATCACATTAAGGTCAGACAACATGTTCCTCAAAAATATATAATTTTTCACAAGATTTTGTGATTGAAATTTTGGTACTTTTTGAAGTTTCCTCACAAAAATAAATTGGGGTACATTACCAGGCATTTGTGCAAGATTCTGGAGGTGGCATTTCCTATATAATCCTATACTTGAAATCAATAATCCTATACTTGAAATCACTTGAACTGCTGATATCACAATTTTTGGTTTATATATATATTTTTCAGATATTTTGAAAATAGTTTAGAAATGAACAGATGATGATAATTATAAATATTTTTGGTCTATTACAAAGGAATGCAAATACAGATATTAGAGGAATGTGTCGTCACACCTTAAAAGTAAAGACTTCAGTATATCACACATTACAGTGATAATGAATTAAAAGGAAATTTCGTGAAAATCTGAACTGAGCTTTGTATCAAATTGAGAAGTATATAATCTTCTTAGCTCTGTATATCATCAGTAACAGTTTGTGATTTTATTATAAAG